CTCCCTCTTCTATAAAAAAAAGCAAATTTTAAACGGGGGTTTATTTTTATTTTAACTATGAGTAGAACTGGATTGATAGAGTCATCTGTCAAGCCGGTAATCAAACCGATCTATACGTAAATTTCGTAGCAGGTACGCAAACAACCCAAATTAGATCCGCGCCGACTACAATCATATTTTAACTGCAGTTTGAAGTTTCGATTTATCCCGTTCTCAGTGGTGAAAAAAAACATTGCAAGGAAACCTGCATATCTGGGAAGATAAAAAAATATTTCGGAAATAATGTTTAAGTATAGGCTTAGAATAATAACACCTAGAAGCCGAGTTTGCATCTGTAATGTGAGGCAACTCAAACTAAGCCAGTATGGCTTAGTTTATTACTCGGCCCGTTAGTGTTCAAAGTCGTGTCGTACTGACAATAGCTCCAGAAATTTTAATTAAAAATGACGGTTTGTGCAATAAACGGTTGTCACAGAACATCAGAAAAACACAAGAAACATAGTAACATTAAATTTCACGTGTAAGTAATGCTCTTGAACTTATATTTTTACGTAAAACATTCATCAAAAATAAAAACTGACGTTTTAAAAACTGACACATGACATTATATGGAAATTAAATGGAATGAAAAATTCCCCCACATTTTGTCGTTTAATTAAAAGTAAAACAAGTCAATACGAATTAAATACAGTGCGCAACGCAACTAGACAACTTTTTACTATCAGGCTTGCCACCATTGATCAAATAAAACGCATTCTTTTTATTTAAAAATATCGATGCCAAATTTTAAGGAACCTTTTTATTTGCTGATAATTAATACATGTTTGATTTTCGTTTTAGGTTTCCTTCCGATCCGATCATTGCGGTTCGTTGGACTGAAAACATCAGACACAATCGAAATGAAAGCAGTTGGAAGCCCACTAAATATACAAAAATTTGTTCTTTGCACTTTGAGAACGGTTCCGCCATACACATATGGAATCCTGTTTCGTCCGCAAAATTTCGAACGGAAAAATACCGTAGGTGTGTGACGGGTCATTGATTTTATATGGACTTGCTGCATTCGGAATCCCGAATTAGAATTTTGAAATGTAATTCCGTATGTATGTGGCTGGCCTAAAGTGGTGTTTTGCGGTATGGACGACCGCTTTACTCCGTACCGAAATGTGACGTCACAATTCGACACGCTCGCTCAGTCGGTCGCCTTCCCGCCTGTCCGCTACCCGTTTCATTTCGAGACGTGTGCATTTTCTAAACGTTAAACATGGTCCGAAAGTATTGCATTGTGCCTATGTGTATAAATTCAAGTGAAAAAAACACCTGACAAGCCGTTTTTTTATGTCCCGAAAAAGGATGAAATAAGAAAAAAGTGGTTGAAGGCCATAAGAAGAGCAGATCAGAGAAAAATATACATGGGCCATGCCGCGAGCCGAAATCTAGTCGAGCAGTATTATTGGTCTTATATTACGTACGTGGCACAAAAACTCAATTTATTTAAAGACTGCTAGCGTGAATTTCTGTTACATCACGCTCCTTAAGGAACACGATCAAATTTAGGAATAAAAGTCCGATAATATGAGAAGATAAAATCCTGTAGATCGTATTATACCTTTATGCAAAATTTCATCCAAATCAGTTTAGTATTACACGCATGAATATTGGTGACCACTGCATTTTCAAAACACAATAGGTACCAACTACAAACGTACCTAATACCGTTTCAGTTCAACCAGTTTATTCAAAAGTAAGTCATAGTAAAACTAAGACCAATGTTTGACGAACTAGGTAACCAACAAAATTTCTTCACGTTTCACTAGGTACTAATGAATCCCCCCCGAATGGGTTCCCACCTTATCGTGGCGAGGGGGGGGGGGTTAGTAGACGTGGCTTGGTCATCCGCGGTGAACTAAGAGGAACTCACATGGCTGGCCTGAGGTATAGGGCCGGCCTGAGAAGGCCACTCCGAGTGGGCATGGCGAGCACACTTCGGATGTGTTGGCAGGCTGCGGCCAGACGGGTGCATTCTCCCCCTACCGCTGCAGTCTAGTGGAGTCGCGGAGGAAGAGGAGTGTAGTTATGACGATGCGCCACTCACCCTATTCTCCGCGACTCTGGCGGGGTCGCATCTTTAATTGATGCGGTGGTGGTGGGGCTGCGGGAGGAGCAGTGTCGGTATTGCAAGGTATCGTTCTCCCTGCCCTCCGCAGCTGAATCTTGACTGGCGGTGGAGCCATAGATCAGATCCGCCGCTGGGTTCAGAAAGGCTAGTGCTTCTGGGTGCTCGTTTTTCCTGGCCCCATGGCCTTCCCGCATCGGACACGAGGGCGTCTGTCGCGCATGTGAAGATGGAATCTGCGGAGGAGGTCGCGTCATGTGTTCTGGAGCGCCTTATTTAAGAAGGAGATGGGGGAGGAATAGTCCTCTCTTGAGAGGGGCCGTCACGGGGCGACCAGCGCTGCTGGGGCCGCGGATGTGTGCAAAAGCGTTCCCGTGACCCTGCTTATATGCGACGAAGGTGGAACACCGTGGGGTTTTAGTCGGTGCAAGTCCGACATAACCCGTCCTTGTCCCCGCAAGGGTGGTATGCGTAGGCATTTCCTCGCGTAAAAAAGTACAAAATGAATGTACGAATTGATTAATATTCATTGCATTAGTAAGTTTAAGTTACTTTTTTCATGCTATGTTGTTGTAAATCATGTGCAACTTCGTGGTTCGGTCAGTTAATTAATACCTACCTATGTATTAGTGCGTAAACCTAATAATCAATGGTAAAGCTGTATACTTTTCGTAATCTTTTATTAGTAACTTACCTTTTGGAGCTTTATTTCACGCATTTCTAATGATAAAAAATCATTATTTCCAGAAAAATACCGCGCAGCCATAAGAATATACAGTTATGGCAGATTAGCTGACTGTGCTTTTTTAAAGCCCACTTCCATTTTTTACAGCACTACACACCGTAACTATACATAGAAATACAAATGTAATCTTATAAAAGCTAAATGTTTAATACGTTACTTTATAATATACACGTAAACGACCGTATACTTCCGAGCGCGCGGTTAGTAATTAGTACTAAACTTAAGATTGGTACTTATTACTCGCTCGATCTGTCGAATTGTGACGTCACGTCACATTGAACGAGCGGGCAGAAAATTTAAAAATTAGCGAAATTTTAAAACGTTATAACTTTCTTATTTCTGTACCAATTTGGATGAAACATAAATTATTGTTTCATAAACATAGCTTTAAAGCTATAAAAGTTTTATTGTCAAATTATCACATGTTGGTGTGACCCAACGTCGTAACGTCTCTAAACCGTAACAAAGAAAAATATGATTCAATCACATTTCGATGGCTCATAAAAGTATCTCACTTGGCTAGACAGGCATATACCTTATTCAAGAACGTTTTGAATTTGGCGGGCTTCGATAACAGAATTCAAACAAACTTATTTTCACATTTGTATCAGTCATACGTAACGTCGTAACTATTAGTGCATTATAATTTCAACTTATTTTTTCACCTGTGTGCGGTTCGTCTAGCGTAAAAACAAGATGCTTATGCACACATGATTTTGTTCTTGCCTCACTTTTGAACGTCCGCTTTGTAGAGAACTATCGTTCTAGGTGTTATAATTCTAAGGGTATAGGTATGTGAAGTCGGTCATCCCGCGTTCGAGTCAACTTAACCAACTCCTTTTTGACCGAAAACTCGCTGTGACCTTTGCCCAGTAGTGGGATTTATTTAGGTTGCTCTTTTTTACTTTTAATGGGGATATTCATTGCTGATCAAAGGCTTCTCCCATTGTTTGTCAGATAGACCGGATTTTTACAGAACTGACACTTGGCAAGCGGTATGGCGACCGCAGCCTTTTATTACTTTGCGCTATTATCAGGAAGATGCTGCTGCCATTCATCTCCTCTATCAGTTTTACTCTTTCGTCTCTTACGACACACACGAAAAATAGAAATAAATTTATGAAATTTTGAAGTCTACTCAAACATAAAAATATACTAACATATATTTTATGATGCCAATCAATATTCAATGCAAATAATTAACGCATATAAAAACTATGCCGTCTATTAATAAATATCATCGAATCCAACATTATTTTGTCAAAACTGTATCAAGTTTAATTATGAATATTATGTAAATAATGAATTTCTGATTCCAGGCCAATTTACAATTTATAAAGACACATGGAAAGAAATCCCCATATAAAAAAGTTGTCGCTACACGTATGATACCTATTTGTCATTTTGATGAACTTATGTTTTCTGTAGCATATTTCCGAATTCCAATTATTCACAATTATTTACCGTGCTTTGTGGCATTCTTGGGGGAGGCCTATGTTTAGCAGTGGGATCGCGAAAGGCTGTAATGGTGATAATGATGATGACGTCCGATTTAGACAGAGATACCGAGGTGTCTACAATAATTGAACCAATTTCGCTAATTTTGGCACGGAATAGATGCTTCTTAATGAAAGCCCACGCGAGCGAAGCCGTGGGCGAAAAACTACTTTAAAATATAATGCTCTAATGAAAATGAATGAATACTGTGGAACCCTTAAGTTTTCCACGCCTTCTTTCTATAATATTATTCTCCTAAACCTATCAGACTGAAACACGGAAATAAATTTACTGCTGCCGAGCGGAAAAAATTAAACATGATTGAATTTCACTCGAGCAAAACCAATTAATTCAAACAAAATGGAAACAGAGCATATACAAGTATATAATTTCAATAAATGTTATCAAACCACTTTAAATAATCTATTTAATTATTTATCTTTCGATTTCATTAGGTACCAACAATAAGAAATGAAAACAAGATAATTGTGATAAATATGTAAACATAATCTGAAATAATTGTAAGCATATAAGGTCATAATGTCAAAACATATTTTGCAGGTAACTGAGATATAAAAGCTCCCATGTTGACTGATCGCTTCATTACTCTGAAATACCTCGACCAATATGTACGTCGGAGTTATGGCATTCAAAGTGAGTATAAAAAGTTAGAATATAAGAAGAATATAAACGTGGGTTAATTTAAATTTCTTTTCTTACTCTCCATGATTAATATCGTAGATTCATAGTAGAATTATTCATAGTTTTTAATAAAACCCCGTCTATATTTTCATGCAATAAAGTGAGTATAAAAAGTTAGATATAATATGAGTATTAGTGTTGAATTTTTGATTACAATGCAGGTGTTTTTAAGGCAATAAACTCAGTCAGTGCAGTTTGCCATCTTCGACTGCACCACCACTTACCATCATACCTTCAAGTGGATTAGTAGTCAAGCACTAGCTTTGATCACAATTAATTTTTTACATTGATAAAATATCATCATTGCGCTTTTTTAATTTCAATATCTACATAATAAATATATTTATATTCCTTTTTATTTAATTTGATTATTTTTGAAAACAGGCTGTCACCAGACTGCTTACAGCTAAATATAATATACAAGTAATAAAATAAGCAGAGGATAGTGGCCAGTAACAAGTTCATTTGAAGATAAAACAGAATGTAGTACTAATTAAAGTATATTTTTACAGATTGCTGCTTTGCTTTTACTTCTGGTCGCTCTCGGTAACGGTGAGTATAAAATTTTAAAAAGACATGAAGTAGGTATATAAAGTATAAACATTTCTATATAAAATAAATAGTAGAATTTATGATAAAAAATTAATAATCGTGTAACCAAATGCAATAATAAAACGATCTGTAACTATTATTACCAGATTGCAGTTATATTAGTAGTATAGTTGTAGCACGAATGGGTCGGAATGGTAGGAAGGACCACGCTCTTACAGAATACAGGCGTATAATTGTAGCTTAATGCTGGTGTGTTTCGTATTGTGAATGATGATGATGAATCGGAGAACCTTTTTACCGGAAACGAAGCTTTCCATCTTAGTCCTAATCGTAATCGAGGACAGATGTAAATGTCTATGGGCCACAGCAACTACTTACCATCACGTGAGCTGTGTGCTCGTTTGTTAACCTATCCTATAAAAAAAATAACAGACTAAATGGATTACCTTTTTGGTTCAGTTGTGACAGTAATCGGCTCTATTGTGTTTGGATCTATATATATAGGAATTATTTTTGTTTTACAAACAACAAACCAAAAACACCTTTCCACAGGTCTGCCGTACGGAGGCGGTTACGGAGGTTACGGAGGAGGACGGGGAGGTCTGGGTGGCTTTGGTTACGGAGGTAGAAAAGGCGGATATGGAGGCTACGGTGGTCACAACGATGTTGGATCTGGTGACGGTCATGGAGGTCAGCGCAGTTACGGCGGACACCGTGGCGGGTACCAAGAGTACGGATATTAGTTTGTAATGTTTAATAATAAAGACTAAATCATTTATCTTTACGTTTTAATTTATCATTTCGTTTATTAGATGCCTTTTAATAACTTAAAATTGGGAGTATTGGCGCAATTTTTTTCAAAGCAAAGTTTTATCGTTTAAATAATACAATAGTTTAAAGTGCATTTGAATAGGTACGTGATTTTGTGTATTAAGTGACTGGGCATGCGAACTATTGGTGGAAACGACGAATACAGTGCTTCGATGTTGAGTTGTTTGTCCGCTTAGGCGCCGTCACAAGAACAAATTACTGTAGATAATAATAATTTGTTATATTTACACGAGTACAAGGAGAACCGTGGCAGCTCGGGGCTAAGTGCTCACTGTTCACTGTACACTTCACAGTACCGGCACCAGTTAAATTGTTAATTGTAATTTTAAGTGCTGATTTACAACATGCTCGGCGGTGAAGGAAAATATCTTGAGGAAACCAACATGTCTGAGAAATAAGATAAAGAAATATTTCAAAGACATGTAAAGTTTGCCAACACGCATTGGGATAGCTAGGCGGACACTTCGTCGGCCTAAAAATCCACACAGAAATGAAAGGAGGCATGTGCCCCGCTCTGGGACGTATATATGCTGTAACTTTAACTTTAACACGAATACTTGACATCGAATAAAACTAATTGAGTGAAAAAGCCGGCCACAGTCGAACGTGTTCCTGTTGCTACTACCTACCATATATCAGAGGAGTCACAAACAAAACTGGCTACATATTTAAGCGAGTCTTCATTAAAACCTAGTACAAGCTACCGTAAAAGATCAGTCAATAAGACGGTTACTTGGCTAAGTAATAAGTAGCGGTGATGGGGGCCTCGGGTTCGAATCCTGCACGGAACAAGTATTTGTATGTCCTGTTCTGTTCCGGATCTGGACATTTGTCCTTGTGCAATTTATGAAAATCCTAGAGCGGTAGGTATAGTTGATTAAAAAAAAATAACACCCGTCAAACAAGATGCAGAAGTGTACGAGCTTGATTGTAAATATGATCTCTCTGATGTTAACAAATAGCTGACGTTAAATATCGACCGTACGGAAATTCTGCAGTCAGTGAAATTTGCAAGATTATCTCTGCTATTAATTCATATTTCATAGACCATAAATTCTCGCAAAAGAATAACGATTCCTACCATGGATGATTCGCGAGGCTATTATCAACAAAAACCAGCCATCTTCTCTACTGCATTTAGGAGTTCCAGTAGACAAGATGGCTGAGTCCATCTGGTGGGGAACTTATATAAAAAATAAATTAAATCAAAACCAAGCATATATCTGCTATATTCAAGATAGTGTATGCTCGTTCTGCGTAGATCAGACTATCTATGACATCGGGATATGAAACACCTCAGTCCACCCGTGGAGTTAACTATCACGTATCGTTCCTATCACTTGTATTGGGAAATGTACGGTCTTTCGAGTCCATTACGAAAGAAAAAAAAAACAAATTTTTTACTAGTTTACAATATATTAATACTTCCTTTTCGGCTATCGTCTATAGACGGACAGTCAAGATGCCTTTATCTATCTATGAAAAAGTTGTGTGTATGTGAAACTAAACGTTAACATTCAAACCTATCTTCGATTCAAAATCAAAATGGAGATTCTTATATTTTATAACTCCTAGTAATTAGTTATCACTCGTTTGGTCTGAGACGAAATTCCTCATTATCGGTTGGTTTCGGTTCTCAAACGAAAAGAACATATTTGATACGACACAAGTTAAAATTAGAGTTGTGGTGACAGAGTCAGCACTCTTTCCGTTACAATGTGCGCAATCAGTATAATAGCATCATTAACATATTAAGTAACATTTTAGATATTAGATTAGATAAGAACTTCCTCACCTTTGAATTTTCCTATCATTATCGTAGCGTAAATTACATTGTTCATCAATTTTCTAACCACCAAACGCGTACCGTTGCACAGTTTTGGTTGGTTTATGTTTCGAAGCATGATTACTACGGAGCCAACCTTTAGGCGTAAATTGTGCGGTGGTAAGCCAGGCATGTTCAAAGAGTTTGAAAATCCAATTGGATAGTTGGTGGCTTCATCTTCATTTGTGACGCAGTCAATAGATTTGAATGAATGCATTGTTCCAATGATCTTATTTTGAATTATGTAGTTTAGATCATCTACATCTTTATTCTTAGCCGCTTAAATTGCTCGCTCACTCAACCATTCATTATTTTTGTAGTTAGAAATAATGTTTGGAAATACATTGTTAATAAGTTCGTCTTTTGATGAGACAAAATTACAGAAATTATTTGGAAATGATATTAATCCGCTCGATTCATCGACAGGTACTTGACCATTACCGATAGTCAGCAATTGCTCCGAGAAATCTTCAGCAGATGTATCATTAAGCAATGTAACTCTCATGTTTGTTGTCAGCTGCAGTTTCTTCACATAGCGCCATAGATTTGACGATTTGAGGCAAGCGTTTATTTCGTCGGCAGCCGTAGATCTTGGAATTACTGGCAGTATTTGGCGGAAATCGCCAGACAGTAAAATCATTGCTCCTCCAAAACATCTCGAGTCATTGCGTAAATCTTTTAATGTTCGGTTAAGTGCTTCTAATGCACGTTGATGCGCCATTGTGCATTCGTCCCAGATGATGATTTTCGATGCCGCTAAAACTTTGGCCAGTGCTGAGTGTTTTGCAATATTACACGTTGGTTCTTCAATAGTTTGAAGATTTAACGGTAATTTTAATGCTGAATGAGCCGTACGGCATCCTTCTAACAATGTGGCTGCTATTCCAGAAGAAGCAACTGCAACCGCTATGTTGGATCTCACCCGAACAGTTGCTAAAACTAATGACATGAGGAATGTCTTGCCAGTTCCACCAGGGGCATCTAGGAAATATAAACCACCATTTTCATCATCGATTGCCTTCATTAAAGCATCATAAACTTCCTTTTGTTGGTAATTCAACAGGGGTACAATTCTTCAAAGGTTTGAACTACTAAATCTAATTCCTGGTGATCATATTCACGTTCCCGTTCCAATTCTCGATTAAATGCGTCATTCATTTCACGATATGGCGCTGGCATTCCTAACCTGATTAATAAATTACCGTACATGAGGTAACACATATCTTCGATTAAGAGTAAAGCACGATTATGTATCTCCTCATTCATCTCAATATCGTGATTTCTGGAACTGACACGAATTTGATGTAAAATATCTTCTGACATATTATCCTTGTATTTGTGCCACAGTTTACATGAGTTAGATGGAAAACATGTCGAAATTATGATAGCGAATAATGTGCGTATCTGACTTGGAGATGCAGAGATAATGGCTTCGGCGATTGTCGTATCCCAATGGGTATCGTTTTCTAATAAGTTCAATTCTTCACATGCAGCACGATATGTCGGGAATATTACACCATTAACAGTTCGTAGTGTCTCAAATGACGTTGGCCCACGCACATTTACCAGCAACAACCGCAAATAGAAACATTCATCATTCTTTGGATGAACTGTATACATACGACTAAGAGCATCAGTAGAACGCACATCTGGATACCCAGGAACCGCATCGCCTTGCTTCCGTCTTTTAAAATTCTTCGATGAAGCATTCTAAGTATAATAACGTGGCATCTCCGAGTAAAGCAAAGTTCGTGCAAACTGATCGCTTTGGCAGATTGCAAAAAAACTGGTCAATGTAGTTGCTGGAGGTGTTTCAGCACGTTGCGTAGCATTCGAAGCCGTGAAATATACTCGTTGACCATTCTCCAGATGCACCACCAAATGCATAACAGTAGGATGACGTTCGTGAATGGGAAATGCGAATATACGCCAAATCGCTTCATTACAGTTCACATAACGACCAACTTGATAGCGTGAAATTTCATCGTTGGTATTCGAGGATTGCAATCCAAAAACTGCCATATCACTGCCTTTCGTGACATATTTGCAAATATATTTTATGGACTTAACTGAATTGCAGTATTCAACGTTGCAATGTGTCTTGAACGTTTTAGAAATAAGTGGCGAATATGGAACAATCCAACTGTTGTCGACAACGAAATCCATTCTTTTCACTTTCGTTGTGACAGTTCGACCGTTGTCATCTGGTGATCGACGCCGATACAGCGGATAACCATCGTTGCCAGTGACAGTCTCCGCCGTTAATTTCCGTGGATATCGTTTAGAGCACTTTCCATCGACCATGCAAGGTGATTGGGGATTGATGGCACCACACGGTCCATGAATCATATTAGTAGTAACAACATCATGTAGGTCTGGATCGACTTCATGATCAGGAATCTCGGCACATATGATATCATCTATTTGGTCAGGCTGAATTCTTTCCACTAACCAAATAAGAATGTGTGCGTGCGGCAGGCCTCGCTTTTGCCATTCGATTGAATACATCCAGCATCGAGTGTCTCTAAAAGACGCGTTGTTTAACAATAAAGTTCATCAGGGACCGAATTTTTTGCCTGAATATACGTGCTGTGATGTCGTGTCTATCACTTGATGTTTGTCCGGGAAGCAGCAATTGAGTAATTTCTATCCATTTTGGATTACAGGTGAAAGTAATAAAGAGATCTGGCCGACCGTTATGACGAACATATGTCATTGCATCTTGTGCATATTCATGCATATGACGTGGACTACCAATGTACGTCGCCGGCAGAATAGTTAATCGACCAATATTAGCTGCATTTTCTTCAGTACTAACTGCATCACGTAAATGGATGTACTCCTCAGAACGCAGTTTGGCTTGGTTCAACCTAATGAATGTTAAACGTTCCGTTTCTATTTTTACATACATGTCAACGCAATACTGCTGAAACAATGGACGAAACCGCAGCAAATAGTTGTCAGCATTTTGACGAATCATCAAACGATATGCGTAATAATTCATTGAGCTAACTTTCTTTGTAGTTTCTTCACCTGAAATTAAAAATTTGATAATTAACCATTTCAAAGGCAAATTTCAAAGGCAAACAATACAGACATTAACCATTTTTTTAATAAGCATTATTTTAAATCAGTGTCTTTCACAAATAAATGAAATAAATTATGATAATGATACTCACCATTCAATGTATTTATCACTTTAATATTAAAATAATATCCATCTTCTCCTTGCCAAAACATCAGCGGGTATTGCAATGCGTCATATGATCGATGAGTTTCAGATATTTGTTGCAGTTGCCCAGTATCGCGACGTGTAAGCACAATATCGCGTTTTTCCAATTGTTCACCAACAATCAGGATGGGAACTTCGTCTAATGTTGGAGCATTAAATGTGCGTCCGTGTGTTCCAGATGGTCGTTTATCTGCTTTGATGACAACTTTATAGTCATCACTTGGCATGCGCTCTAAAGCATTCTTAAACAACCTGACCAACGCATGATGTTCATGAAGCAGACACTGCAAGTCTTGAAGAATTGCTCGCTTCATTCCTGCATTGATCCCTAGGCGTCGATCAATGTTGCCCATGAAATATATTTGTAAAAATTTATTCTGTGTATCTTCGAAAGTTAGTAATGATCCAATTCGATGGTGAATCTGTCCTTGTATCTACAAAATAAAAACCAGACAGTATTAACAGGGTTATAAACACTTTTTTCGGTGGGAGAGTAGAGTTCAGAATTAGCAAATATAATACATACCAATAGATAAAGTAAGTTATTCTTTAACTACATTCTATGTAAGTACAAAAATAAATACCTTAAATGTCGGATTAAATCCTCGTTCTTCGATAATATCTGCCCTAAATGACGTCATTTGGAAACATTTTGTATTTTTGAGTGTTTGCAAGAAAGTGGCGTGATTCTTGTGTTTCGCCACAAAGCAATGAATACAATGGCTCATGTGGCGGAGTCAACAACGGTAATTTCACTTTACCATTAAGGCAGCATAATCCAGCCGTTTCTCCGGAAAACTTTAATGCACCACAATACTCACAAACAACGTCCATTTGCCCAATACAAACGCTAGGATGCAAGCTGTAATCATTGCTGCAATCGTATCGAAACGCTGCTCGATTCAAATCAGCACTTGATAAATATCTTGTTCTGCGTCGCAAATTATCTATCTGTTGACCTCTGTTGTTCGCTCGACGATTCCGTATTGCCAACCGAGCTGTTTCACGGGCTGCTTCACTTTGATCTCGTGATTGAGAAGCACGAAGTCGAGCCATACTATCGCGGCGCTGTTCACGTGCAATTTCTTGTTCTTCTTCAATCCTTTCATTTGCAGTATTTCGTATTCTTCTTGCATTACGGCTTTTTCGGGAAAGATTCGATCGTCTTGCTCGCGGAATTATTAATTAAACTTCACTACACTTCAATTCACCTAAAAATTTATTTCAAAACTCAAATTTTCAACCATACCGAGTTTTATAGTTCACTTCACTGTTTATACGTATGGGCAATGGCACTATCATTACATTATAATTGTTAATTATTTATTTAATAGAAATAGTTTGAATATTGATTTCTTACAAATATCAAATTGTCATCTATACGTCATTACATAGCTGTCATTATACGTCAATTACATAGCTATCATTTGCGTTTTGTTATTCCAAGTCTGATTCTTTTTTGTTATACCACGTTTTATAGTGACTGACGTTTCATGTCAAGTCACACGGGAACGCTTTTGAACGGAATAAAAAGTATCTTATGTCCGTCTCCTGGCTCTAAGCTACCTCCATACCAATTTTCACCCAAATCTGTTCTGCAATTCTTGAGTTATAAGTGGTGTAACTAACACGACTTTCTTTTATATATATAGACTAGCGACCTGTATCGTCTTTGCTTGCATAGGGTCTATTGATGTTGCGATATTGAGATGTTAAGTTATGTTAATCAAAGACGGAATATCCTATGAATATTTCGTTTTGTTTTTCCAAAAAAAATGTTAAGTTTTTCGGGTAAATTGCAGTCTAGATCCCCTGAAATTGCATTTTATTCTTTTAGTAAAGTTCCATCACCGTTTATTGCAATATTACAGATAGACACTTCACTTTTATTTATCTATAATAAAATCACGAATGCGAATAAAAAATAAGAATGTATTCATTAAATGAATACGAAAGTCACACACGTATATTGGTTTTGGTCTAACTGCTTTCGCAACAATACTCCTCAGCACTTTATTTAGGCAACCTCTTCTCACTTGACAGCTGCTGTCTAGTGAGCTCAGCTGTCTCCCGTCTCTTAGTCTCTTATACAGTTTATAAGAGGAATGAATACAATTACACAAGGTTGTGTTAAAATCCTATGATCAAATTAGAAAAACAAACGCGAGTGCTCGTCAATGAGGATGAGACGTCACTCTGCGATGACGTTCTCATACCAGGTTCCAGTTTAGCACTGTAAATACTGTCAACAAGTCAACGACTGCGCACCAATATTTTATACTAATATGTATGTTGCAAGTTTTAATGAACGTTACTGGATGCAGGTGGCCCAGTATCGTACTTTGTGTAGGGCTAATTTGTGTTGTTAATTGTAACGTACATTCTTGTAAGCTATTATTTGAAAAAATATAGTCCCGCTGGGTTTCTTTTTGGTTCTTTCCAGGACAGAAGTGTTTTTTGAAAACCAGTGGTAACTGAAAAAAGTGACTTTCAATAAGTATTATTTACAATCTATATTGAATAAAAAAGTTTCTGTTTCTGTTTCTGTAACTAAATCCTTTTCCTATCTGTTGTGGGTCCCTGTCAAACATTTTCTAGATGATAAGGGAGCAAGAGCTTCCTACGCGGGAGACATCATTGTAACACGTTGCAACAAATAAACATCATGTAACAGTGAATAAAACTAAATTTACGGATTTTATCGCGTTTATTTCACTACTTTTACTTATTTTTAATTCCCGACGTTTCGGGTGCTTTACAGCAACCATGGTCACGGGGGGGACTGAGATGTTTGACGTCCCAATGTCATAGTTAGTCCGGCTACCTTCAGTTTTTGAATATTAATTTTTGGTCCGATTTACGCAAAACGAGCTTATAGTATTATGAAGTCATATAGTATCATGGTGAATCTCACCATCATCCTTCACAGTTAGCTACCGTGGGTAAATCTTTGTTTCAGAGAGCACGAGGGATCTGTGACAGAAAACATCTGGCCGCCGAACTTCAGCACGTCAAGCAAGTATTGCAAGACAACAAGCTTCGGGTCCCGCGCCTACGTCACAGTGACCGAGTGAAGCCGGCCACAGTCGAGCGTGTACCTGCTGTACTACCATATGTCAGAGGAGTCACAGACAAGGTTGGCTACATCTTGAAGCGAGCTTCCATTAAAACATACTACAAGCCGCCGAAGAAGATTAGTCAATTTTTACCATCCGTCAAGTGTAATATCCCTCTACAAGATGCAGGAGTGTACAAGTTAGATTGTGAATGTGGTCTCTCTTACATAGGTCAAACAAAAAGATCCATAAAAACCCGCGTGAAAGAACATACAGCTGACGTGAAGCACCGACGCTCCGGGAAGTCTGCAGTCTGCGAACATGTTCAAAATCGTCCCCACCATTACATTCGATTTGATAAACCACAAATTCTCGCAAAAGAACACCGATTCCTACCAAGGATGATACGCGAGGCTATTGAAATTAAAAAACATCCAAATTTCAATAGAGAAGATGGATGGGTGCTGCCACCTGCTTGGGATCCTATAATTAAAGAAATTAAACCCAAACCTAAGCATACCACTGCAAGATTTCATGATACTATAAGCTCGTTTTGCGTAAATCGGACCAAAAATTAATATTCAAAAACTGAAGGTAGCCGGACTAACTATGACATTGGGACGTCAAACATCTCAGTCCCCCCCGTGACCATGGTTGCTGTAAAGCACCCGAAACTTCGGGAATTAAAAATAAGTAAAAGTAGTGAAATAAACGCGATAAAATCCGTAAATTTAGTTTTATTCAATGTGTAATGTTCGCGTAAATTTAAGACATCATTCATGTAACAGTTTGACAAATAATGTCTTGCAACTGTCTCTAAGTCCGATACAAAAAATGGAACAAATATGACATGTAAACAAATCAAATAAGAAACTATTTATTTTAAATAATATTGGTTTTATCGTAATAATGAGCTCTGCTTGAGGTTCATGTTGGAATTATTCTATAAAACTCTTAACACCATTGTAAAACTATTTAACTTAATATAACTGACTAAATCAATTATAGAATTTTTATATCTGGCGTCATGCTAAAGAGAATTCACCGACCAAACTCGACCCGTGTATTACTTATGACACATCAAAAAAAAAAAAACGAGTACAGCAGCATCTTAATGAGGACGGAAAAAACGTTTAGAATCGTTAATTCGTTTGTAATGTCTTTCAGCATGATATAAAAGCACAAGCAAATTTCTTTCAGTTATAATCGTAATCAGTTTTACACAGTAGAACATCCCAGGTAGCTTAGCAGCTAAATAAAGCCATGTCTCGACTTACGGTAATCTTCATAATATGGACAAAAAATTAAATTTCATATTTATTTATTTTGTTTATAATAATTTTTATCGTTTTTTTTTCAGATTTTCTTTGTCATCGCCGTGGCGTATGAAGTACTTGGAGATGGTTTGTATGACTTAAATTATTTATGAGTCGGTCTGAGATTTATATCTAATATAAATTAAGACAAAACAGTTAATAATATATCGTTAAATATAATGATTATAAAAAAACTTTCAGGTGTAAGGAAAGACTCTCGAGCTGCAGCTGCATCTGGGATGTATTCTACAGTGATGAATTCCGGATTGGGAGGTGGTTCTCTCATTAGCAGTACAAAGGAAATTATAACCAGTCCTGCTATCGTTTCAGCACCCACAACCACAGTAATCGCTGGCCATAGTCTATCCAGTGGTGCAGCTTTGAACAATGCCGCTGCAGTAGGGGCGGCTCAACTTAGTGCCATTCAGAACGCTCAAGCAGTTCACGCCGCACAAATAGCGAACGCTGCCGCCGCTGCTATACAAGGCGCACGAGTTGCGGAAGCCGAAGCCCGTGCCAGATACGCCAACGCGATTCAAAACGCCCAGGCCTTAGATACTCAACGTGTTGCATATTTACAGAGAGCACAAGCCGCTGCAACGGAGAATGCTAAAGCTACTGAAGCTGCAAGAAGAGCAGCAGCCGCAAGTGCTCTTGAACTCGCTCGTGCTGCAGAGGCAGAGCGAATGGCCAACGCTGCACATGTCCAGGCCATTGCGTACGCCAACACTAGGGCTATCGAAGCTTCCCGTATTGCTAACGCAGCGAGGGCTCAATCTGCGACTGTAGCAACAAGCGCTGCACAGGCACAAGCTGTTGCCGATGCTGTAGCTAGGAACACGCAAGAAGGTCTTGTTGTTAATAGTGGTTCTCACGTTGTTGGCTTTGCACCAGCGGCGGCTGGAGTTGAAGTCGGACATTCCTGGGGAATAAGTAGCGGCGCGCTGTTAAGCAAGCACTAGTCTTTGTTCTAGACTTTTGAAGTCATCTAAATAAGACTAGGCTATACATAAGTTTTCTACAGCCATTTCGCTTCTTTGCAAAGAAATGGTTGGCGGCAGATAAAATTATGACTGATTGTGTAAATATTGTTTTTACTGAATAAATGCAATTATTGCTTTAAGATCATGTTTTATTTATTGTAAAACTCAAATTCAATTCAAAAGTATTATATAGACATTATTTGTAGAAAAAGAGCTCAGAGTACTATATACATATCCTACGTATTCTCGAAGATAAAAGTAAATACTTTAACCTTTTTTAATTACGAGTATAGTCCAAATTAATAATTTAATTTCGTCCATCTATCTAATACATCCTATAAAGGTTCACTGCGGAACATAGGCCTTCGCAATAGATTATATTTTAGTCGAGGTTTTGTCATAGTTGCCACGCTGGGCAGTCGCTTTGACAACCGCAGTCTTATAATTGTGAGTTGTTGTCTTTGTCAAATTTTCGATCAGGTTCACGTGTCCTGACGCGAGTTTAATATTTTTTACCCATTCAAAAAAGTGTACAACGCCGCTAAAGAAGTTTTCACTTCAATAATAAGCACGAGAATGTTGCGGCGATAAGCAATTAGGCGCATAAAAATAATCGGAGTATAGCACACAACACCGATACACTTTATTATAGATTGGTCGAAAGACATATAAGCCAACACACATTTAAAATACCCATTGGTATTTTACAACATAAATCCAACTTCTTTAAGCATAACTGTGTATAAGTGGCTGCCGTGAAACTAAAAAGTACTTTGCATAACTTAGATAAGCGGCTGCAGTTATGACGTCACTGAAGTCAAGTGGTCTCCACCATACCAATCTAAATGAGAGACCCTATAATATTAGTTTACAAAAAAAACACATGTTTCATGTGTTTTTTTTTGTAAACTAATTATAATACCTGAAAAATATAAATTGGTATATTTTTCAGGTATTATGTGCACTGTCGTTCCTTGCTAGTGGTAGTTACCAAAGAATATGCGGCAAAATATCAACACTTATGTTAACTGATAGAATACTTAGCGCTACTTAGCGGTCAGCCGCCGTAGAGTCTACATCACCTGAGGATGCCTCGTGTAGAGGCGAAACACGTGTCGTATTATCGTCGATGGTGTGTCTTACCTGGAATAGTGGTGTTGGGAGTAGTGGTGCCGGGAGTAGTGGTGCTGGGACTAGTGGTGACGGAGTTAGTGCATGCAATTGAGGGAGGTCGGGACTTGCTCTTCAATCCAGGTAAGATACATCATTGTATTTAGTAAGCGGAAGATTGCAAATTAATTAATATTTTTACTAACACTTATGTGTCGCAGCCTTCAGTATCCCGCTGTGTTCATGAGGTTGTGCAACCGTGCAGGGCTTCCTGCTCCAGCTATGGGCGAGTATGACTTACAAGAAGAAATTCGTTTTCACACAGCAATACGTGCACGAGGCGAGGCTCTAGTATTGATGGTGTGTCCAGAGAAGCTATTTTGAGGCAATCAAGTCGACAAGACTCAGTAAATAAATTAAGACGTGCAAGAAACATAATGCATTATAAGACATTTTTACAAAATATTTATATTTTACTTTTTAATACTTCTGTCAACAACTTCAACCCACCCCCTATGACCTGCATTGCTTGGGCGGTCCTGATTATCCAGATAAGATTGCAATATTGCAAAGCTCTGCCATTGGATTTCAGTCCACTGTTCTTCCACTCGTAGGAACCGCTCGGCTAGACTAGTCAAATGAGACTGTCGCTGTGGTGGTGGTGGCAGTGGTCTGTGATGTCTACCACGACGATTTGAAGTTGCTATAAAGATACCAAAATGAGATTCAAATCTACATCATCATACTAATAATCTATACAATGATTATAAATTTGTATATTATAAGTCTATCTGTAGTATATATATATATATATATATATATATATATATATATATATATATATATATATATATATATATATATATATATATATATATATATATATATATATATATATATATATATATATATATATTACAAACTGCCTCTTTATGTCTTATATCTATATATTATACAGGATGTTAGTGTAAACACCGTTATCCTTGAAACCAGTGGTTTGGTTTCACTTATAGAATGTAAATTCAATGAAAAATAACAATTTTTTTTTAGTAAAATCTCAATTTTTCATTTTTTTTAATGAAGAAAAAGTTACATCACAGGTTATGTGTACCTATTGTGTTTTTAATGGAATGTAGTGTAGACACAGAAAAAATAATAGTACCACGTAGTGTAGGTAGCTAGCGCGGGCGGTGAGTCATCTTTACAGTGGTTACGTCACCCGGGCGCATAGTGTATCTATGAATTTACGAACGGTGTCGGACAGAAACTTTTTAAATTTTATGAAAGGAAATAGCGTTTTTTTTTAAATTCTTTGAATTTATGTTCTATAAGTGAAACCAAACCACTGGTTTCAAGGACAACGGTGTTTACACTAACACCCTGTATATCTTATATGGCTGCCTCGTTGGTCTGGTCCTGGGTTCGAATCCAGGGTCGGGCCAAAAAAAACAATTATATTAATAATTATATTTTAGAGTTTTTCCGTCAATAAATTCTCTCAGTAGCTGCTTGGAGTCAGGAAGTTGGCGATGTCTCACTCCCGTGCCTCAGAAAGCACGTAAAAGCTGTTGCGCCCGATCTCTCTCCGGTCGTGTCGGTTTACCGTCCCATCGGATTATGAGTGAGGGAATAGAGAGTGCACCTGTGCTTGCGCATACACACTATAATCCTGTCCTGCGCCGATGGCTAGTCTCCGTTGAGGCTGGCCGCCGTGACCGAAATTCGGTCTGGAGGACATTATTATTATTATATATTTCAAAAACCAGGTGTCGTTTTAAGGACGTAGCGGTACTCGACGCCGGGGCAGCTTCTTTTTGGGAAAGAAGAAAGTCCACTATCTACTTAGCTGAGTCGTCTGGATTACCAACGGTAGCAGTATGCGTATCTACGAGTATACCAATGGTGAGAAGAAAGAAGTTTATCTCGACCGCTTTGGCAAGAGACTAAAACCTCTACTGCCAGTTGGTTTGACAGATAGCTTTATAGTTTTCAGCCGATATGTTTAATGCGTTCTAAACTGTATATAACTATATTTATAAAATGTTTTTTCTTTTCCGTATACATTTTACGCAGTCAGGTCTTTTAATTAACGCTTAAACTATAAACCTTGTATTACGACTGGGATCACAGACATGCGGAATTTAACTTCTCAATAAGTAATATACTACAAAATAAATTAACTACCGTTACCGTTACCGTTACAGTCTGTTAAAGTCTGCTACTGAACACAGGCCTCCCCCATAGATTGCCTCATAGGGGGGATATTTGGCATAGATGCCTCGCTTGGTAAGCGGGTTGGCATTGGCGGGATTTTTATTTTTAGTCGTTTTTAGGAAGACGCACGACACCCACGAAATAATAATGGTGTAATGGATATTCTTACACCGTCACTAAGGAATCAAATTATTATTATTAAATGTGTTATGTTAAGGTTGAATTAATATTATGAGTTAAATATTAACATTATTTGGCTTGGACACGAAACTGTATATTTCTTACATTGAAGTAATATGTACTTACGTACTAGAACAGCTATCTCAAACGAAAAATGTGCGCTACTCTGTGTTCTCACGGTTAGTTTTTTATATCATAGAATAAACATAGGAAGAATGACCCGAAGGTAATAGTAGATTGTATTCTTAAATAGGTAAATTATATCGAGAACATTATCTAAATTTTGTCATTTATTTTGTATATTATAGTTGCTTATTTAATATAATATTACATAATATTATATCACAACTTTATTTTAATGATATTTTTTTGAATATTTTAAAAGGTTTCTATGTCAAATATAAAAAACATACTGAATGCATGTTTAACAAAACTTATTAACATAACATTTAAATCACAAATATGTTTATTTAAATTAGAATACGAGTCATTCATTAAATGCTGGGCACGCGAGGGTTAAAAATGGACGAATTTATTCCACTTTGACTTTGATGTGGAAACCTAAATAATATAAAAGAATAATAAGCAGACTTAAACATGAAAAATTTAGCCTAATTATAATAACTAATATATGTTTCTACAAAAAAAAATGTGTATAATAATATATTCGTCCTATTAAATACCCACAAAAATGTCGCATCTGAACATATTAATTTCGTAATCTATATTCCATGACACGAGATGGCGTCTTAGGAATAATTTGTTTTATTATTAATCCATAGTAATTTTTTATTGATTAAGTATCTTATTAACCGATGAAAAGAAATTCCTTGGTTTTTACTGACATTTCTTGAATTATTTGTACAATATCTAAGTACACACGACGGCTTTTTATCAAGAGATTTTTTTTAAATCAACACAACACATGATACCTAACTCTACAAGCGCCTAGCGAGTGACTCACGGGGTACCTTTGTATAAACTGAAAGAGTGACTGATGATTAAAGTGCGGTGTATGCACCGCAGTTGATTGGAACAGAGTAGCTGAATGCAGTGTCTCCTCTAGTACGTAGTACATAACAGCTCAATGATTTCATAAGCATGGTTACGCTCAGTTACACAAATGGTCATCCGTATATAAAACACATGTTAAACGATTCACTTATTTATAAGTAGATTGAAAAAAAATTACAATACGAAAATTCCGCCTCGCTAAATGAATATTATGAAATTGCGCATTTCAATGTCGTTAGTCACTTTGCAAATGAATTAGGTTAGGACTTCGAAGACACAGTTCACTGGAGCTGGCTCTTACATATACCTACGTAATGATTAACTGCACGTGCAATCACGATAATGCGCATTAATTGCTTTAGATAACTTTATTTACTGATTTTTCAACAAGCGTACGATGTAGACTACTTTGAAGCTTAATATTCCGAAAATTAGGTTTTTAAATAAATTCGACTATGAAATCATTATTTTAAAAGATCTTTCTATAGTCATCATGGATGTGGAAAAAATGTGTGGAGAAGATCATGAATAAGGCTGGGTGAGTGAGCAATTCTGTCTACTTTACATTAGGGTAAAAACTAAAATTATCATAGAGCCACATACTGCCAAGAACGCTGGATGTGTTTCCTCGTTAACCTTCAACGTGAAAAGAAAAGGTTCCCTTTGCAGCCCACTCGCGGATACCGTTCATTTAGAAATGTCATCACACGTGGTACCAGGGATTGATAGTTTCTGTAGCAAATGATACAAATATAAATATACATAGTCATCACTCAGAGACTCATATTAGTCACGTTTACCTCAGTTCAGTCCTACGCAAGGCCTGACGTCTCGGCCCTAAGTGAGGCACCCTCAAAATGAGAGAACGAGGGCTTTGTCTCTCTTCCAATACCCAAAATCATGCCGTGGTATTTGCCATTTTCCCCAAAAGTATATTGTTTCGTATATTGAATCGTTTTCATAAAAACATACTTGAAGCCGCCGAAAAAGTTTTGTGAGTTTCTACCATCAGTCAAGTGTTATATCCCTCTGCAAGTTGCAGGAGTGTACAAGCTTGATTGTGAATGTGGTCTCTCATACATACGACAAACTAATACATCAATTAAAACCCGCGTTAAAGAACATATAGCTTCACAAGTCTCCTGCTGAACATAGGCCTCCTCAAGGTATGCACGGTCCTGAGCCGCCTGCATACATCCACTTCCTGCATGTCTTACCAGGTCGTCACTCCATCTAGTGAGGGGTCGCCCTACACTTTGCCTACCGGTACAAGGCTGCCACTCGAGAACCTTTTTCCCCATCGGTTGTCATTTCTTCGAGATATATGGCCCGCACATTGTCACTTCAGCTTACTAATCCGTTGTTCTACGTCGTTAACTCCGGTACTACAGCGGATATCGGTACTACAACGCATGTTGGCGGACTTCACATATCTTCGAAATATTTTTTTATTTCTCAGATATGCAGGATTCCACACGATGTTTTCCTTCAACGTCGAGCATGTGATAAATCAGCACTTAAAATTGTTGCAATCGCTAAGTCCCTGAGCTACCACGGCACGCGGGTAAACTGTAAATGTTAATAATAATAAAAAGGTAAAATAAATAAAAGACAACTTCACAACATTAAATTTATTTTAGAGACGTATTAAATATTTTTTTATATATTAATGTACATTACAACAGCAGTAAGCAACTGTTTACCAAACTAAGAAGAAAATATTTATTTCTCTCTATATTCTATTAATCCCAATGTGTTATAGTTTTGTTATTATATTACAAAATACTGAAATCTATTTTCCCATACGAGCAAGTGGTGAGTCATCTGAAACAATATTTTTTAATTTTAATTTTTACACAAATTAATCCTAATCCTACATTCAATCAGTAATGAAAAGACAATATTTTAATTTGCTTGTTGGCCCGAAAAATCACCACTGCTAGACATGGGCTTCCCTCGGTCACAGTTTAGATTTTTCAGTTGGGAAATGAATGTACTTACGCAGAGCAATGGCGGGGGCACTGCGGGGCAGGGGGCCGGTCGACCTTTTACTAGTGCACTTCACTAAGTCTGATAGACATTAAGTGCGGCTGGCACGAGCGTGTTTCATAGTAATTATATAGCTAATTTTAAGTGCAGTTTCCAAAAAATATAATATGTAATAATGCTGAATGACTGTTAGAGATATACGAGTTACTAAGTAAAATTGAATTCAAATGACGCCCATGCTTATGTTTCCCTAATTTTTTTATACAATTGTTTATCCAAATTTGAATACACTACAGCTCCCTCCTACGAATATATACAGCGAACGGCCACAATCACTATTTTTGGAATTATCTCAATTAAAAAAGAAAAGCGAACTTAATAAATTTAATATAACGTGGAGAATACTCAGACGAAATAAAAACTCGAGTTTTTATTTCGTCTGAGGGAGAATATAGATTTTTAAATTACAGAATTACATAACTTTTACAATCGAAAACTGAAAACATCTATAAAAAAAGTGTCACAAAAATATTTGACAGCGCAGCACTTGTAAATATGTTTTTTTTTTATTTTAGTAATAAAAATGATCTTGTTCGATAAATGTTTTTAAATTATAATTAGTACATAATATTATTATAAATAACAAATGAACTGTGGGAAGTGCAGCCCCTTCGCCTTTGCATAACAAATCACATGAACCAATGATCACCTCCGCAGTTTCGGCTTATTGGTAGCCTTCCACGACTAGCCTCAACTGCTACGGCTCGCACACGTGCGATTGGTTACTGCGGACCAGGGCTGCTTTCTCTCCGCGTCTACGGCTTTACAAAAACACTAGGGGTAGGGCAGACAAGACTACGTGAAGTCGGGGCGTTCTGATGCGATTTTAGTACAGAATCGACCTTATCTATAATATATAATGATAAAGAACAAAAACTGCCGTTCATGCGTTATAGTAAGGTAATGGTGGTCCTGGACCCGTTAATTCCCAGAATATTACCGTCATCTACATCCGACCTCAATAATCTTTCAGCACTTAATTCCTTGTTATTAATATTTATCGCACATCTATTATCGTCACTACGTTGCTAGCGATACCTTTCGCCAGCAACGCAAATTTTACAGTTCGTTGAGGTAAAAATTTTAGAGCACCTAATTTATAAACTTGGCACCTAATAGCATCTAAAAAGCCCCTACTTTTGGCTTTTTCTAAATGCAAATTTTTAAGTTTACGTTGCTGGTGACACAGAGCTATAAAATAGACTTATGGAATTGCTTGCGCTGCCATCAAATGGTTTATTTTACTTTATTTCAGTAACAAATAAATATTTATTTTATTAATGCATATTCATATTTAATAATAGGTTGAGGCATTAAGTCAATATGCTCCGTAATAAAGTTTTTCTTCTCCTAATTTTTTTTAAATGTTACCTCCACACTAGGATTTTCTCCTGTATCGTGAGGGCAGTTAATGTACATATATTTCACAAGCACATATACATCCAGACCCGGATTATTTGTAGCCAATTCGAATACTTGTCCCGTCGAGATTCAAACCCGCGCTATCAGCGCCGCAACTCATTGCTAAGCCTTCATACATTACTTTACAAAACATCAAAATCTTGTAGAATACCGAAAGCCTAGAGGCTTGTTACTCTGCAACTGTACTAGAAATCTTTTTATAATCTAGATATTTTTTCTTCTTATTTCTTCTTTTTTTTAAAAACGTTACCCCTACACTAAGATTTTCTCTTGTATCGTAGGGGCAGTTTACAAACATAAATTGCACAAGGATAAACATCCAGACCCGGAACAACTATTTGTAGGCCATACAAACACTTGTGCGGGATTCGAACCCGCGACCCCCAGCGCAGCCACTCATTGTTAAGCCACTGCGCCACGGATTCGTCAAATATAGATAACTTAGGCTTCCATGTGTATTATAATCTGATATCCTCAGCGTGAAAGCGAGTATGTGAACGTCAAAGTGCTTTACTATGGTCGTCTCCATCACTACTCATCTTCTGGTGGGTTAGCAGTCAAGCACTGGCTTGCAATAGTTGTCAGTTGACATTTTAATCGAAGTTGGATTTCCTTGATTAGACAGGATTAGTGAATAAAACCATTTTTACGGATTCTATCGCGTTTAAATTTCTTATTTTCAATTCCTGACGTTTCGGGTGCATTACAACACTCAAGGTAACGGGGGGGAGGGGGGGTCTGAGATGTTTCAGGTATCGATGTCGTATTTAGCCCGTTAGCCGGGCTTATTTTAACTGTTCAGTTAAAGTTGGTAGCAGACGGCAACACCCATTCATCTTCTCTATTGAAATTAAGAAATTAAGATTTTTTAATTTCAATAGCCTCACGTATCATCCTTAGCAGGAATCGGTGTTCTTTGAAACTTGTTCTAATGATGGGGACGATATTAATACTACGAAATTTAAACTAAAAGTTACAACGTTTAATTTATATTACAAAAATTATAATAAAGAACTTAACTAAAATAATAATTAAAATTATAATATTAACGATTAAAACTAATTATGTACAATATAAAAGAAGAAACTATAATATAGAAAATCTAAAACTAAAAATTTAAATAGTCAAAAAAACCTGCTCCCCGTGGTATAGTGCCAAGAACGCTGGCTGCGTTTCCTCGCTGAAAAGCTATACTTAGCCTTTGAGCGAGGAAAGAACCAGCCCTCTTATCATCAGCAGCGATGACCAGTCGTGGATACAGTTCCTTTAGAAACTTCATTGCACGTGGACCCCACGGACCGATAGTCTCTACAGCAAATGGCACAAATATGTAGTCATTTCTCAAAGACTCATACTTGCGCCATTTACTAAATTCGGCTGCGTCTGATGCCGCCCCGGCTCTAAAAGAGGTACCCTTGAGATGAGAGGCCGCCAAAGTGTCAACGCAAGTAGCATCCCACACTAGGGCTTTACCTCTCTCCCAAGGGATCAAAGTCATACCGTCGGGTCTCCTGCCATCGTCTCTAAATATCCCGCAAGGCTCTAAAACCGAGGGGATATTTATAGAGACAAGAGCCCTTCGGATGATTTCGTTCAAAAAACCGTGACGGGAAAACCTACCTGCGCTTTTCTTGCATGAAAGTAAAATAAAATAATGAAACGTGATAAAATCCCTAAAACTAGTTTATTCAATGTGTAGTATATTCGGGTAGATATAAGAAATCATTAGACAATCGTCACAGACATAAATATTGCAAAATCCTAAAATACATACTTACATTTCTTGTATGGGTAAGGGTATGGACTATTCTGCTGAGGAGGTCCGTCAACTAAAACAGGTCCAGTGCCTGTAAATATAACACAAAATTAGGTTTGTAAACGTTTTTCTCGTTTGGTCATTTAAAATTTATTGACTAACAGGTAATTGTAAAGTATAACAGATTGCTATTTCTTTTAGGATAAACGGTAAACATGAAAGGGTCTTACTTTGTTGTTCATGTCCTCCTGGAGGTGCTGTAAAGAAGAAAAATTTATATTATTTTTTATGACAGGCATGCATCAAAAATGGTTATCAAAGATTAATTTTGTTAACTTCATTAGTACGCGGAATATAATTCCTGACATGCTTTGTATTACTGCTATGCTAATTACGAATTGGCAGTTTTGCATGTTTATGTTAGAATTATTTTTAATATGGTAACGTAAGCGCTTCAATACTTTTCACTAGGGTTGCCACCTGTACTATCACGTATAAATCTAGTTTGATTTCCAGCAGATTAGTATTGTAATAGATTTTAATTCTAAATTCTAAAACACTTAAAAATAATAAGTGCAAAACTATGTACATACAAGGCATGTTTTCTACTAGATAATAGTTAGCTTAATTCAGTTTTTTTTTCATTTCTAAACAAAAATTTTACCAACGCACGTCGCGAAAACACTCACGTAACCTTCAATCCACATCATCTGGATGCTTGGCGGTCAACTCCTACGCAATTTAATACATGTAGGAGTTTCCTCCTCGCACGACTACTTTGTGACATCGTTTACTATTGGCGATTTTCCGACCTTAACTTACTCCTTTTTTAAAGGCCGGCCTATCACCTGGTATTACAGTTGTTCACGGGCGGCGATCTACACTTACCATCAGGTGAGCCGCATGCCCGACTGTCCTACTTCTACAAAAAAAAAAAAACTTAAAGGAAGTAAGTAAGAGCAAAATTATTAATAAACAAATTGTATTATTCATTAAAGAAGTGATTTTAAATGTGTTTTATTTAATATACCATATCTACTCTTATTTTTCCACCTCTTAATCGTTCACAGAAAGAAACAGTATTTTCAGCAAATGCCAAATTGAAAAACGGCAGAAATATCTGAGCAGGATATTAATATCGTCAAAAACGATCTACTTATTTATTTTGACTGTAGACCACGCATCTAAAAATAAAGAAGCGAAGAAGAATTAAAGCACTTCACAATAAATATCATTACTATCATTTTTATCATTACTGCTCCTCAAAAATTCGCTGCTGAACATAGTTCTCTCTCATAGATTATCTTAAAGAAGGATATAAAATTAATATTAATATGATATTAATTAATATTGTGAAATGGGTATATAAAATATATGCACTAAATATTTATGTTTGTATTTTCTTTTAAAAGTACGGCTTTTTATTGCCTATAAAATGAATGTATGAATTTATTTATTTTTGTAATAAATCTTTATTGTATTCCCTGAAAGATAGATACAAAGATACAGAGAGCTGACTTTGTGCATACAGACGTTTTATAATACAATTTTATTTTCATAAAACAAAGGTGGCAACCTTGCTCATGTGGCGGTAATACTGCAAAAACATTAGCGTGAATTGTAGCAAGTACGTTCGCATTTGTATTTATACATATAATTTACATTAATATGTAAATTATATGTATAAATATGTAGATAATGCTATGCTGCATTCACATCTCAGTTAGTTAAAGTTAAGTTGAACGTGAGAGTTGCACGCTTAAGCAAATTACGATTGCACCAAAAATGGGCATGCTCGACTCGACCCGGTTAAAAATCGGAACACGGAACACAGAACACCAGCATAGAATTCTGTTGTGTTTTATATGATAAGTGATGAGAACCAGCATCCCACTTTACTTGAACCAAACGAGGCATCGTAATATCTTTGTGCTCATCCTTATCTTTTTGCTTTTTGACTCTAGACTACGGAATTCACTCACCATCAGGTAGACTTATGTCCGTTTGCCATCCTTATTTCTATAACCGATATATTTTAGTACAAATCAAAAGTAGCGACTGGACTTTATACCAATAATGTTAATTGAAATTTAATAATGATTATTCCAATACTGCTGATTATTTCATCACTTATATTTACAGGAGTGCCTTGACGTAGTTCAGAGAATAAGAGCCCAGCTTAACAATATACAGTACGCGAGTGAACTGAATTTGGTATCCCACGACGACAATAGGATACGACGCATATGGCGGTGAATAAAACCTTGTGAGGAAATCTTCACGTCTATGAAATTAAATTAATTCGTCAACAAATTCGCCGCTACGTATTGGGACCAAATGGATTATTCTTCCATTTACCATTACTAGTACAGCCCATTAGAAGTCCACAGGCCTCCACATAGACTTAGATGCCTTATAGAGCTATACTTGTCATAGTAGCCATGCTTGGCAAACGGGTCGGTAACCGCACCCAAGTAGCACACTAGTGTTATAACAAAACGCTACTGTAGCCGCTTAACAGGTATATGTTATGGCTGTACCTTCTTATGTAAGTGCTACAGTAGCGATAGAGAACTTCTAAATCGCTTCTATACCACTAAAAAGAACCCACTTTTCACCACACACCAGGGTTTCAGTGGCAGCACCGTAGTAGCGGTACAATAGCTGCATGGTAAGTTTATAAAGCGATACAAAGGTGCGTGATATGTGAGTTTTGGAGCTAAATGATATACAAGACGTTCGACTACGCAGCTAAATCTTTTACAGCATCTTAACACTTAAACTGCCGTCAGTCAAGTTTTAAATGCAATACTTCGTACAGAATGACTGACACGCCAGCCAGAGGCTTAAAGATATTTATACGTGTATATATACCTACTATAGTTATTATAAGAATTAGTGACAGAACATGAATGACAAATATTATTTCAATTTGATCGCGATGTGTATAATGATTTAATTTCATTTGTTTTCGTAGAATATTAGTGCGAACATCAGTTTTCTGCCAAATATGCATTGATTAAACTAAATTTTTCATGCGATCGCAAAATATGTGGATTTTTCAGTAATTTATCTAAATCAGTAAAGTTTCTTTTTGATTGAGTTATTGGAACATGTGATCGATATATGAAACATGAAATGAAATCGATACATGAAATGTAAAAGGGCTTATTTATTTTGAAAAGTATGCTCTCTAACATATTATATACCGATACCATAACTCATTAAATACTGCCACTTTTATAAAAGCCTTGGACGTCTGCTATATCCATTACAATGGTTTTAGAAATAGTACGGCGCTAGTGATAATTATTTCTAGATCTACTATCGCCGATTTATGGAATATTTTTACTTATTTTGACAAAAACACTAAGAACCCTTTTATAATAGAAATATTTTGGGGTTAGTTTATTATTTGAATTAATTTTATTAACACATGCAAGACATAATAATTAATAATCCATGAAATTACTAAAGATCTTTTACAGACTACATTGTATTAATGGTAATACAGGATATACTTAAAACTTATATAGCCGTATAAAACATCTATAATCATGCCTAATGAAGACAGTGACTATATTTTCACGTTATATTTAATTCGGAGAGATTTTGGGGGAATTTTGTTACAAATATTTCCCAAAAACTCTCTGAGAACTTCTTCAAAGCCTCAGAGTCGCACTCAAATCATTTAATTCGTGAGGCAGCTACTTATGCAGCCCCACCCCCCTCTCGCTATCGAGTCCGCAGGCCGAGAAACTGTCTCTCGGACCCGCCTAATAAACTAACTAACGATCTGAAATGCCTCCTGGCGGCTCAGACCAACTCTAATTAAATTAAATTATTGTATTAACTAATATTAATTTGCCTTCGTAGGCACTCCCTCAGCGGCTCGTAGCCGCCTGCGCCCTCTTTTCCCAAAAGAGGGTCGCTCACGATAAGGCACAATACAGCTTAATCAGCCGGTTGCCTGTCCCCAAAGGCGGTTTTTAGAGGGTATCACTTAGGGTCCCCGGTAGGAGAGAGCATTTTCCGCCTCCCTACGTATAGGGTAGCCCTTTAATTGCTTCGGGCGCAAAAAAAAAAAACAAATATTTCCGCTGTCAGTGCTTCTGTCAAGCTATAATTTCCCAAAACGATAAAAGTGATTTTAAGATTCACATAGATCTATGAGTTAATGAGTTATCTTGAGTGCTATATACAATATTTATAACTCAATTGAAGCGCTTTAATCTTTATTATTTCTCTTTTAGGTCTCAAAGTAATAAATATATTTATAACTCTGCTTTATATCCAACACCTTTACAAAAGCTCTACAAACTTTCTTTTTGTCTCCAAAACCATCATAGTCGGCTAAACGGCTACTTTATCACACTGCTTCTAAAGAGGTATAAGAATCTTTTATTAACAGGTTAAGAAAGGTACAAACTTCCTTAAACCGCTTTTATATGGCAAGAGAGCGAAACAGCGTACTACTTGTATGTAGCACACAAGTGGTAGACACTGTTTCGCTGTTGTTTGGGGCAGTTTCATAATTTCTTGTTGATATAAGGCATACGCTGCTGCCTATCACCAGGTTAGTTTCCCTCTGTCACCTCTTACGACACCCAAGGGATGATATGAGGTAGTGGATATTCTTAAACTTACTGTCTACGGTGCTATGATACTTCACTTCAACACCACTTCAAAAATGAGAAAAGGCATGTTTCCAGTATTAGGAAATGTTAGGATGTCAATTTTCTTTTTTACATGCTTTATTTTTATAGGACATTGAAAGGATATCATGTTCACTAAAATTTGGAATTTTAATGTAACTACAAAGTATTTAAATCACAACCTTAAGTAAAAAACATTCTATATACTTTCAACTGCCACACGCAGACCTTTCTGAGAGGTCTTCTCTGACAGGGCTATGAAGCAATAAGTCCGCTTCGCTGTTGTACGTTTTAGAGGACAATTTTATTCGCCAGACATATAGGTTTCCTCACTTTGTTTTGCTTTACCTCAAAACGCGTAGTAAATCAACACTTAATATTGCAATTAACAGTTTTATTGTTGTGTTGGGAATCGAACCCGAGTTGTTTGCGTACGGTGTAATTACGACGAGCGTTTAGTCGCTGAGCTACCGCGGCTCAAACCGCAACCTAAAAGGCTTGAGTTATTAGATACAATTATTAATGTTTTGCCTTATTTATGGAATTTATGTTTAAGACTTACAGTTTCCTGGTTTGCTGAAGTATCCGTCTATGACAACTGAAAAGAAAATTTAAAAATCTTGTTACTACCATAAATTATTATATATATAATTTAATAATAGCTAATGTAAATCCCCATGAATTTTATCGAAGACGCAAGTGACATATGGTTTAGTGATCAGTGTTAGATTAGATTTTATATATATATATATATATATATATATATATATATATATATATATATATATATATATACATACATTCTAAAGATATGTTAATCTATACCTATAGAAGATCCGGTGTCTTTCTGTAATATCGAAATAACTGTCTTTTATTGAAGGTTATATTTGCATGCCACTTAAACAAAATGATCATTTTTATAACGTTTGTCCGTCTGTCCGAGCGAATCATTGGAATGGCTGATCACTTTAATTATATAATCAAAAGCGCATCCGATAGTACTTGTAATAAAACTTTATAAGCAGATAGACAGCAATGCCAGTTGTGGTCTGGGCTATATTTTGTCCGTAAATATTTTTTTTGAGTAATGGAAAACTTGCTAAAATGAAAGTTCTTTGATGATTATATTTAATGTAAGCAACGCAACAGTAATAGATACTATCCAAGCGAAGCTGTAACGGGTCACTAGTTGTGTAGTATATTTTACTCGTAATTATAAGAAACAGTATATTATCATTAAATTAAACATTTGTTTCTATCTTAATATATTGAATTAAACTTACAATTGTCGGGGTTGTTGAAAAGTTGATCTGAAAAAGAGATTATTAAATAATTAATACAATGTGCTCGAATGTCTGTCTGCGTTGTCATAGAAAAAAAATTTTTGCTAAAGTTTTCTTTAATATTAATTTGGGGTCACATTAAAAACGTACCTCCGATAGGATTGTAATCCACTACGTGAACTGAAAAGAAAACAAACAAGAAAGTCAATTATTTTGAAATAAAATTAGGTATTGAAAAATTTAGTTAAGGTGGCACGATGTTGTTTGCACGACGTAGGACTAGGTTAACTATTTATTAATCTGTGACATGTCACAGATTAACAAATAGTTTACCAAACGATATTTTTTCTCGGTCGGTTTTATTCCATTCATATCATGCTAGTAGTAAAAAGACGGTTTAGAGTCGCTTAGTCGTCGACTATTCTGGGGGTATATTTGTGATATCGCATTTGTAATAAGGATGTTGAGATGATGATACAATATAATTTATAATAAGCGAAAGTGATTGGGTTTAGGGATGCTAAACGTTTTTGAAAATTTATTATAATATTCTACATGAGCTAATACTGTATTTACGAAATAAAGATAGAATGCGGCAAATATTTCTTCATATCTTATAGCATATTTGTCCAAAAAATATCTCATTTTTAAATTCTTTCATCGGGTTGAAAAGGCTCAGGCTTAAATATCTATTAGGGAGGAGGGCTGTGTTTAGCAGTGGATCTTTGATTATATGCAATGAATGAATGAATGAATGAACAATAATTAATTTTGCGTACTATATATTTTTGTAACTGTAAATATCTATTAGGGAGGAGGGCTGTGTTTAGCAGTGGATCTTTGATTATATGCAATGAATGAATGAATGAATGAACAGTAATTAATTTTGCGTACTATATATTTTTGTAACTGTAAATAACACAACCAATGAAAACATAGAATAATACAATAGTAGCTACGGGGCTACAAACACTAGTCATATAACAGTTTGCTTTTTTTATTAATTTATTTACATTGATCTTCAATAGTTTTTTGTCATAATAAGGGTGACAAACGATGTCACCCTTATTATGACAAAAAAAACACAGTCCACCTGATGGTATGTGGATGCTGTGGCTCATTGACATCTACATCTATCCTCGATTAAGTATATTAAGGACTAAGATGGAATGCCTCGTTTCCAGTAAAAAGGATCTCCGGTTCTCTACACTCACCATACGAAACACAGCAGAGCGTGGTCCTTCCCCGGTCGAGCCGAACCGTTCGTGCTACAACCGTGTGTTAGCTGAAACGTGGTTCTACCACGTAACTATTACTTACATCTAACACATGTCTTACATCTGCAAATTACTATGTACTACCAATTATAGGAGAATACATCATTCTATAACAATAACAGTGTTTATAATTTGCCTTTGAGTGATTGACTTTTTTTTTTACTGGTTTACTGGGAAGTAGGATATCTTTTCAGCCTAGTAGTCCGTCTGGGGGGGAGGGGTGCTATCCTCTCATCTAATTCTACCGTCAAACAGCAGTCTGTGTACTACTATATTCCTGACTGAATATATCTGGTGATAGAAGCCAGTGTAGTCACAGACTGCGAGGCATTCTGTCTTAGCCATCTAAAGGCGACAACTGCACCCCCTGTATCTGAAGTTGATTGCAGGCATCTATGAGTTTTAGTAGCCACTTACCATCATGGTCACTGTCAGCTCATTAGTCACTTGCTTTTACGATTCGGTTCGTTTAGATGTCATGTCACATCATGTCCTTAAAATATTTTATAAAAAAGTCATGAAGATATTAACATCAGGATTTTTCCCTTTACTACGGAGCATGAGATAAATGAGCAGTCAAAATTGCAACCAGCAATTTCATTGGTGTCGGCGGGGATGGAACTAAATTAATCGAAAACTTAAGTGAAAAGTGCAGTTAGTTTTACCTGTCCTTAAAATATATTTAAAATCCGCCATCACGTATTGAAGCACAGTGATGTATACATTGCTCCATAACCCTTTTAGAAATGAGAAGAGAACTAAACCTGGACGTATACAGGCAGACCTTACATTAACTATAAATACCAGGCTCCTGTTCTACCTAGTAAGTCGGCTTGATTGATTTTTCATCTTCATAAAAATATATTTTCTGTCGGTCAAACGAGTAATACAGGGTTGCGATTAATGCAACTTTGTTTTAGAATAAGGGTGCCAAACGAGCACACAATCCACCTGATGGTAAGTGGATGCTGTGGCCCATAGACATCTACATTTATCTTCAATTAAGAATCAAAATGCAGATACGTTGCCAGCCCTGAAGACTGAGATGGAATGCCTCGTTTCCAGTAAAAAGGGTCTCCGGTTCTCTACAGTCACCATACGAAACACAGCAGCATTGGGCTACTATATTACGCTGGTAGGTATTCTTTGAGAGCGTGGTCCTTCCCCCGGTCGAAAGTTATTATATACGTGGTGGAGCCGTGCTGCAGTTATATTAGAAGGATAGTTGTAGCACGAATGGGTCGGCTCGACCGGGGAAGGACCACGCTCTTACATAATACCAGCGTAAAATAGTAGCTTAATGCTGCTGTGTTTCGTATGGTGAGTGTAGAGAGCCGGAGACCCTTTTTACTGGAAACGAGGCATTTCATCTGAGTCCTCAAGGGTGACAACGCATCTGCATTTTGATTTGTAATCGAGGATAGATGTAGATGTCTATGGGCCACAGCAACCACTTACCAGGTGGACTGTGTGCTCGATTGTCACACTATCTTATAAAAAGAACTGCAGCATGGCTCTACTATGTTTGAAAAGTGGTAGTTTGCAAGTGGATCAGAAATGTGCTTTATAATGTTAGAGGAAGCAGAGGCGTATATATATATATAAAATTGTATGTACAATTATAATACGACAACTACAATGTTGGGTTTGATTCGTAGACAAAACATCCCTTCCATAGTTTCGCATTATATAAAAATTAAGTAACAAATAATTATATTTAACGAAAATGAGTGTATATATTCCAACTAGCTATTTCTAGCTTAGTTAATAGCTTCGAAATTTCGAAATTGTAGCCGTGGCTGAATTCCAAGCGTAAGTTTTTTTACAAAAAATAGCGGAATATATACGTCCCATTGCTGGGCCCCTTCTCATTTATTAGGATTGTGTTATATGATATAAAAAAAAAGTTAAATAACGGACCTCTACTTGGGCTGTCCTCGGGTAGGTTATCTGCAACAAGTGAATTTTTATTATAAACACAATGATCTTTTTTATAGAACAAAGGTAACAAGGGTTCTACGCGGGGATCGTGCGATCCATGGCCCTTTACGGGGCCCCGGTGTGGGCGCGCGGTTTGGCGCGGCTTGCCGTCCACCACCTGAACGCGCCCCAAAGCGTGGTCGCCGTGAAAATGGTTCGCGGCTACCGCACGATCTCCCGCGAGGCGGCGAGCCTCCTTGCCGGATTGCCGCCATGGGATCTGGAGGCGGTAGTCCTCGCACGCCTGCACGAATGGCGCGCGGAGGCACTATGCCGGGGGAAACCCCGCTGCCGCGGCAAGTTGTCGCGCAGCGGACAGACTTCCGGCACGATCTCATGGCGACATGGAGAGAGCGACTGTTGCAACCCCGTGCTGAGCACGCCACTATAGCGGCGATAAGACCCCTCTTTGAGGAGTGGCTTGAGAGACGCCACGGCATCCTCACCTTCCGCCTGACTCAGGTCCTCACCGGACACGGTGTGTTCGGGAGGTTCCTGCACCGAATCGGGCGGGAGGAAACGCCCGGGTGCTCCCACTGCGAGGATGGACCGGAGGACACGGTGGAACACACCGTGGAGGTGTGCCCTGCTTGGGCGGAGCACCGCCGTATCCTCGTAGCGGCGATGGGATGCCGTCACCACCTTCTGCGAAGCAGTGATGCTAGCGAAGGAGGTGGCGGAACGGGAGAAGGAAAGAGCAGCAGCTTTCCTCCCCGGCCGCCGCGGGAGACGCCCCGGGCGTCGGGGGCTACGTCGTGGCCCCCGGCCACCGTAGGCGCGGGCCTGTGGACGGCGAGCAATGGGCAGCTCGTCGTCCGTCCGTCTAACGACGACAGGCCGTGTCGACGGCGCGTTTTATTCCACGCGCGCCTCAAAGAGCTGTCAACAGCGTGATGGGGCCCGCAAGGGCCGACGCCTGCCGGGGCTGCGGGCTATTCGAAAGAGATACCGCGGCTCCGGAACGTAAAGGCACTGAAGGAACACGGATGGTTTTTAGTCAGTAAAAGTCTGACACTCCCTTACGCCCCACCCAGAGCGAAAGGGGTCATTAGATGATTTTCCATCCGCAAAAAAAAAAAAAGGGTAACAAGGGTGTGCTCGTTACATAGTCTACCTGAAGGTAATTGGATGCTATGGCTCATAAATATCTATCTATCTATACGAGTATAACTGTCTATGTCTATCCTCAATTAACCACAGCAATACTGAGCTGCTATTTTATGCTGGAAATCTGTGGGATCATGGTCCTTCCTCGGTTGAGTCGACCCTTTCGTGCTACAACCATTATATAGCTGCAGCTTAGCTCTATCACGTGTAAGTATTAATTGTGTAATCTTGACTCATGTTATCTTCAAAAGTCTGAGTCTTAAGTCATAAATCAATGTTTAAATTTTCATAAGAATGTGCAATGTGCAAGCAAGCAACTTATTTAGTTTTGCGAGCATCGTACTGCTAAACCAAACGACACCTTGCACTTCATAATCCATCAAACCGTTTGGACTGCAGAAGATATCATAGTCTATACACCAACTTATACCTTAAATGTATAACTCACTAGCATATACATTAATATACTCCAGACCGAATTTCGGTCACGGCGGCCAGCATTAACGGAGACTAGCCATCGGCGTAGGACAGGATTATAGTGCCCAATTGTATGCACAAGAACAAATGCACTCTCTATTCCCTTACTCTCACACAACCAGAGGGAGATCAGTCACGGGACCAACGGCTTTATATGCTTTTTGAGGCACGGGTACGAGACATCGCCAACTTGCTGACTCCGTACAGATACTAAGAATTTCTTGACGGAAAAACTCAATAACGACCCGGGATTTGGACCCGGGACCTCATGATCAGTGGTCGCACAATCGCTAGACCAACGAGGCAGTCATATACAACACGTAACATAATTAACGCACTTTGAGAAAGTAGTTCGTTCAGAATCGTTTACTGAATCGATTCCTATCATTTTTAATATAGGTAATTTTTTATCCCAAAAATAATTAAAACTACGTAAATTACAGTCACACTAAATCCGTACAGTCAAAACAAACTGAAATGGACCGTAACTTAAGGCAATAAGACTTTTAAGAGTGCAATTTTATTTGTATTATTACTGATTCTGTCATTCAAGAAAAATAAAGAAAATTTATTTCAAGCACGTTAAAGTCTTTGCGTTCGTAGATTTGTACTGTGACCACAACATTCTTCCGGAATTAGTATAACCAATTCGATAAATAATCAGTGCATAAAAATGTTTAACTAAAAATTCAGTGCATGTATTATGATTATAACATAATATACTAATTGGGGTGTCTGAGGGTGTGCATTAATTACGTTACATATTGTATAATAGTAATCTATGCGCATAATTGTAATTCTAGGGCTGTTGAGAAAACAGTTTTTTATCTGCTATGTTATAATAGTATACTGGAACAACCTGAATACAGAATTTTATGAAAATAATTTTTTGCGTAAATTATATTTTATTTATGAGTTACTTAAAGTGAGTTACTTATTTTTCGAACATGAATAATATATTCAGATTCAAAACTGTGTTTTTAATGTCTTAAAATACTATTATTTATTGAAAGGTTATTGATTTAACACATGCCTATGTGTATGACTTAGGCACATAACTATGTGTGGTATAAATAATAAATCGTATGTAACATATTCAATTACATCGATAAGATATGTATATGCCCAATATATGATTATGAACATCCATAAGCTGTATTGAGTCACTATCCAATGATTCACACACAGTTCCACATATTATCAAAGATAGTAGTACTATTTAAATCTTTATATTATATTGTTATGAATTTTTGTATCTACTATACAAATTACACGAGCCGTGGTAGCTCAGATGGTTAGCACTCGCTGTAAATTTCACAGTACGCGAGCAAACCGGGTTCGATCCCCGCCGGCACCAATGAAATTGTTAATTGCAATTTTAAGTGCTGGTTTACCACGGACTCGGCGGTGTAGGAAAACATCGTCAAAACTGCACGTCAGAGAAGTAAGAAAAAACATATATTTCAAAGACATGTGAAGTTGGCCAACACGCATTGGGGCAGCGCGGTGGACAATTCCTAAAACCCTCTCAGAAACGAGCGGAGGCCTGTGCCCAGCAGTGGGACGTATATAGGCTGTAAATTTACTTTTTTTACTTTTTTATACAAAGTACTATGGACTATTTAAATATATGTAGGAATGATATTAATATGTTAAAGTATAATAATGAGGTTGAGATAGATGACAAAATAACAAATTATTTTAATGAAAAAATGGATAGATTAACGACAGAAACAGTGAAAAACGAATATAATATGAATAATAACATACATTCCAATATGTGAACTGATAAGAAAATTCGATAACGGCAAAACGGGACGATAAAAACACGAAAACGGTGTCGATCAGCATCCTTTATTCCATCTTATTATTTTGATAGTCTTCGGTCCTGTTTTCTGTTTTTTGTTCTTCTTTTCTTTTTTAATTTCATATTATAGTATTGTTAGGTATGAGGATAGAAAATACAAATACATACGAAGAAGTATGAGAGAGTTCTACACAGAACTCTACTAGAATTTCCCGCTCGTTTGGCGCAGTACGACGCTGGTGACTAACTTCATCAATCATTATAATATGAGTCGGTGTTGTGATTTTGTCCCTTTTGGTAATACATCTAGTACACGCAAAGGTGGTATTACTGCGGATAGACTGCCCTAACGCGTAAATTGCAGTATTGCATATTTTTGTGACAAAAATGGTACAGAAGGACTGAATATAAGTAAAATATGTAAATTTTCTGCCCAGGAAACCATCTAGATAGTCTATTTCTACTCTCAAGCAGCAGTGTATACAGTGCTGTGTTTTGGCCTCGAGATCAAAGAATACCAGTATACCTAATTATAGGTTAAGAGGCATTCCTTCTTAATCCTCAGTGTTGACTAGTGACAAGATATCTGTACACTTCTTTGTTCAAAGTTCACCGGATGACAAGTAACTACCTTGTTGTACAGTTAGTTCGATTGTTACTTAAATTTTTAAATAAGAGCTTGACCTAATTACTTCAATAACAAGTCTGTAAAAATTAACGTACCTCCTTGACAGCTTGCTATAACTACCGATGCCAGGAAAAGAATCTGAAAAAAACATTTCAGATTGCATATTATAGTTATTGAAATATTATTTACGGTTTTTTAATAAACTTTCTTTTGATAAACACGACGCTAATACTAGTAGGTTATTATTACGATTCATCAACGTGTTTGTTGAATTGCGAACGTTATCGTTTTGATAAGATTGTGAAACAAAAACAATGAGATTAAATTGTGACGTGCTCATTTATTGGGTTTTTATTTATAATACAAACCAATACTATTAAATACAATGTGACAAGACACTATGTGTCTGTTTTGATGGAAGAGAGCATTTCCTCTTAGTCCTTAGTCCTGACAAGATATCTATGGACTATTTTCTTGAAGACGGTTGCAAGTGAAAGTAAAGTAAAAAAATCGGCCGAGAACAAGTCGGGCCACAAACAATGTAGGGTTCCGTAGTTGACCGTCACAATAAGTTAACTTATGTTGTTGTTGTATAAGGGCCTTCTTGGGACAATGAGCATAATAATGAGTGAGTTTGTAGAAAAAAGATTGGCCTAAATAGAACAATAGTAACTGAAGGATTTATTTTCCGAGCGGTCTTAGACTAGTAACCAAAACAGATTTAAAAAATCTTCTCGATTAAGAAAATATTACGATAAACATCAAACTATTCACCCGTTATTTCCGTAAAAAAGTCATAGTTCCCTATCCATATATTAGTACGACACATGATGTAACGAACATTCCAGTAAACCACCGCCCTAAGTTATCCCGAGTGTCACTCGTGGAAACCAAAGGTAGGGAAACTGTAGGCCTATATCAAATACTATCCGAAAATAAATGAAAGTGGTATGTCAGGATCGATCTCTTGGCGAACGATCCTCTCTGCCTACTCAACAAATTGATGCATATATTGTTTTCTTTAAAAAATGTTAAGCGCGGACGGTCATATGGACGGACGGACGTTGTGAAACTATAATGGTTCCTTGTTGTTTAAATACGGAACCCTAAATGAAATATTTTTAAACAAATTTATTATAATTGAAATGTGGTTAAGTTTAAGCACCTTTTATTTGTCTGAGAAAAATAGCTCTACGACCATCAATGACTCTAGCACGTAAAAATAAATTATCGAAAAATTGTTTTTCACCATTACATTGTCAATAGGTCTTCCAAACAATGAAAAATAATTATTATTGCAAAAGATATTTCATCAACAACATTATTCTAACAGCTGGACATATGTATGCCCAGAAAATTGCCAGCTGGCATGCATTACTTGAAAGGTTATCTCATAATCACCACGATGTGCTGGCGAGGTAGTGAGCGCAGACATGATAAAAAAACTTTACCTCACACTAGGATTTCCTCTTGTATCGGAGAGGCAGTTTACATACATAAATTTCACAAGGAAAAATATCCCGACCCGGGACAATTATTTGAAGGCCATATGAGTACTTGTTCTGGGCAGGAATCGAACTTGCAGCCCCCAACGCTACAAAGCATTCCTAAGCTACTACGCCAAGGAGCCGTCAATATTTTAAAATATCAAATTCTTTAAAATTTGACTTGGACTTTCCAACCTTAGCCGGTTGCTAGAACTTGTTCAACGATCAACAAGATGAACCTTATGCAGATGGGGTTACTAACCGAAGAATATGTAGCAGAATTCTATGACTGCAAGCATATATTTTATAGTTGCCCCCACACCACGCAGTGTTTCAGTGATTAAAACAAAAGAACTAATTTTAGGTTCATCAGCTATTATGATAACGACTAACACGGTAATAAAGTATAAAAACAACTATAAAAACCTCAGTACATACCATAACAGTCTTCATTTTGTTACAAATATTAAGGTACTAGTTAAAAATGTGCTAAAGAACAAACTACGGTATGTTTCCGCCGCGTTGTCGTTTTATATAGCTTTAGATAACCCCGATATCCAATCACGGTCAATGTAATATGCGAACGAGTATCCAAACATTCTTGTGTATATTCTAAGAAACGGACTGCAAATATATTTATCTGACAATTCCACTAATTCATTTTAGCAAAAAGTAGTTATATTTGAATTCCCAAAATTTTTAAGACACCTCTTGACTTAAAGGTCAGAACATCTCAGACTTGCATTACATTATTTGTATTATCAATATTTGTTAATCCAACTTCTAGCGAGACGGATTTAACTCGGCCTGGTAGAACCGAGAGAAGAGAGTTAGTTAGTACTTAGTTCCGGGAGAACTTTTCATCAGGTATACCTCAAAACATGAAAATAAGATTATAGAATCAGGGCGTGTTGCCAGTGATGGCATATGGATCAGAGACGTGGGCCTTCACTACTGGGTGTATGTCGCTCGGCTACCTATCGAGAGTGCTCAGGGAATCAGAGTAACCGACACAGCCCAACGGATTAGTTAGCTGAAGTGGCAATGGGCCGGCCATATAGCTCGAAGAATCGAAAACCGATGGGGAGAAACGGTTCTCGAGTGGCAACGTCGCACCTGTAAGTGATGTGTGACCCACTAGATGGAGTGACAACCTGATAAGATATGCAGGAGGTCGATGGGTGCAGCTGGCTCAGAATCGTGCGTTGGGCATTCCTTGGTGGAGGTCTATATTCAGCAGGGTACTTGTGAAGGACTGTAATGATTATAAATGATGCTGGTGATAAAATTTGTAATAAAGCTTCGTGCCGCTCGCACACGGATTACAGGACAGAATTGTAGTCGTGGAGTTCGTAATATTTTATTACTACATTTATCAATTACCTATAAAAGTCCGAAGGCCACCCTCATAGATTGTCTCATGGGGGTATTTTGATATAGTTGCCATGCTTGAAAGCGGGTTGGCGACTGCAGTGTTTTTATTATCTTGAGTTGTTATCAGGAAGATGCTGCTTCCCATCTCCTGTTTCATTTTCCTTCTGTTGCCTCTTTATGACACCTTCGGGAAGACATGAAGTATTGAAATAATACTAGTTTTTACGGAATTTATCGCGTAAAGGGTCGCAGCAGGACTGTAAAAACTACCGTGGCATCAGCCTTCTTAGCATTGTGGGAAAACTGTATGCTAAGGTACTGATTGAAAGGGTCATGAAAGAAACTGATGGAAAAATTTGGGATGTGCAAGCAGGATTTAGAAAGGGAATGGGATGTACAGATCAAGTCTTTTCCATGCGCATGATCGCGGAGAAGTTTTTGGCCAAAAACCAAAAGGTTTTTTGTGCGTTCATGGACTTGGAAAAGGCCTATGACAGAGTGAATAGGGATGTGCTATGGCAAACACTGAACTCATTTGGGTTGAGCGCTGGCTTGATACGGGCATTGGAGTCCCTTTATAGGGACTCTAGTGCTTGTGTTAGGATCAACGGGGTCTACTCGGACTGGTTTGACATCCATAAAGGTGTCAGACAGGGCTGTGTAGCTTCCCCGTGGCTGTTCAACCTATTTATGGACAGTTGTTTGCAAAATTTGAAAGTTGAAGAATGCGGATTAAGAATGGGTGAGTTAACCGTCAAATGCCTTTTGTACGCCGATGATCAAGTTATACTTGCGTCGTCGGCGGCCGAGTTGCAAATGATGGTTACATTAATGAACAGATCATTAAAAGAAAGGGGTATGAAAGTGAACGCAAGTAAGACGAAGGTTATGGTTTTTGAAAGAGAAGAAAGTAAAACGATTTGTGAAATAAGAATAGAAGGGGAGTTGATCGAGCAAGTAGACGAGTTTGTATATTTGGGCTGCGTATTTAGCAGGGATGGGAGATATGATAAGGATATAGAACGACGAGTGAATGCGGGAAATAGAGTAAATGGGGCCCTGCACTCTATTGTGAAGAGTCAAAATGTGTCGAAAAAGGCACGTATGGCAATTCACAATGCTGTGTTGGTCCCTACTTTAACATATGGTAGTGAAAGTTGGGTGTGGCAGAAGAAGCACGAGAGTAGAATGAACGCAGTAGAAATGCGGTCGTTAAGGAGTATGTTAGGGCTGAATCTTAATGACAGGGTAAGAAATTGTGTAATAAGAGAAGAGTGTGGTTTGCAAGATGATGTTGTGACCAGGATTAAGAAAGGAATGCTTCGGTGGTTTGGTCATGTGGAAAGAATGAATGAGGAAAGAGTGACAAAGAAAATTTATGTTGCAGAAGTGAATGGCAGAGTCGGAAAGGGACGTCCTAGGCGAAAATTTATCGACCAAATTGGCGATTTATTGAAAACGGGCCAAATTAGGAGTACCCTTAACCGACGAGCATGTATGCGGAGGTGTATGGATGTGAAGGAGGCGAGAGAGGTGTGTCAGGATCGTGCCAAATGGAAGTCTGTAGTCTCTGCCTACCCCTCTGGGTGACAGGCGTGAGTGTTTATGTATGTATGTATGTATTATCGCGTATATTTAACTTTTTAAATACCCGATGTTTCGAACGCTTTACAGCGCCCATGCTCACGGGGAGGACTGAGATGTTCAAAGTCCAGATGTCATAGTTAACCGCGGTCACCATAGATTAAAATTTAACTTTTGTTCCGATCTACACAGTATGAACTTATGGTATCATGAAGTCTTGCAGTTGTATGCTTGGGTTTGGATTTAATTTTATTTATTAAAGGATCCCAAGCAGATGGTCGCACCCAGCCATCTTCTCTATTCAAATTAGGATGTTTTTTGATTTCAATAGCCTCGCGAATCATCCTTGGAAGGAATCGGTGTTCTTTAGCGAGGATTTGTGGTCTATCAAATCTGATGTAGTGACGGGGGCAATCCTGTACGTGTTCACAGACTGCAGACTTCCTGGAGCGTCGGTTCTTCAGATGAAGAAGGAACGAAAAAGATGTTCAACGTTCAGATGACATCTGGACGTTGAACATCTCAGTCCTCTCCGTGACCATGGGTGCTGTAAAGCTCTCGAAACGTCGGGTATTTAAAAAGTTAAATATACGCGATAAATTCCGTAAAAACTAGTATTATTTCAATGTGTAGTGTTCGCGTAAATATAAGAAATCATTAAGACGAGAGTCAGTAGTAGGTATTAGGTAGGTCAAGAGTAGGTATTGGATATTCCTACACCGTCACTACACGGTTAGGAATACTACATGTTCAGTACCCGTGTAGAGGTTGATAGTGATGATTTTCAAATATGGCCTTAATATTTTTTATTTTCAATTTAGCAGGCTACAAGGTATACGTTATCACATCTGAGGACTAAGGATGGAAAGCTTTGCTTTTTTTTTTGAGACTACATAGTGCCATTTGGCCTTTAGAACTTCACTGGAATAGACTCGTAAGTGAAAACTTACGAGCTGCATCCTGCAGACTATAGTCCCGAAATGCTTCGGGACGAGCTATATTGGATTTAAAATGACATCATTTATTTAACCATGCATCATCATTCAAACTAAACGTGTAAGCAAAAGACCTTCAGCAAAACAGTCAGCCTTCTGTAAAATTGCTTTTTATAAAAAACGGAGCGAACAAGATTTCCGCTCTCCTGATGGTAAGTGACTACCGCCGCAAATGAACAACTTTTTTGACAACCGAATCCACCCGATGGTCATTGGATACACGGCCTATAGAAATCTACATTTGTCCTCAATTAGGAATCAAAATATAGATGCGTGATCACTCCTGACCTACTAAGATGGAATGCCTCGTATCCTGTAAAAAAAGTCTCCGGTGTCTACTCTCACCATATGAAACACAGCAGCATTAAGCTGCTATTTGACGCTGGTATTCTTTGAGAGCGTGGCCTGTCCCAGGTTGAGACAACCATAATTTAGCTGCATCACGGCTCTACCATGGCTAAGTAAGTGACTAGCGCCGCCAAAAAATAACTGAAACACCAGAGGAATTGCAGCTGCGTTGCCGATGATTGATTGATGATGATCGATATCATCTTATACTGTGTGTAGGAAATAAATGGATTTTAATGAAAATTTTAAATAGACCAAAGAATACTTTTGTCCCAGCCACGTAGGAGAAACGTCTTGGTAGCACAGTGGCTAAGTGTTTGTTTGCGTGCTAAGGGCCGCACGAAAAAATCCGGCGCTGAACAAATACTTGTATGAACTTTGAATAATTGTTCTGGCTCTGGATGTTAAGTACATGCATCATTTATTTTTATGAAACGCCAACACGATGTAGGAGAAATTACTTGTGACTATTGACAGGGATTGAAAACTGTGGAACCTTTAAGTTTTCCACGCCTACTTTCTATAATATTATCTTTCAAAACCGATCAGACTGAAACATGGAAATAAATTTACTACTGCCTAGCGGCAAAAAGAAAAGCACGGTAAAATTTCACTCGAGCGAAGCCATGGGTAAAGCTAGTAATACAAACAAAATTAAAACAGAACATATTCAGCGATAAAATCCGTAAATAATAGTTTTATTCAATGTGTAGTGTTCGCGTAAATTTAAGAAATCATTACAGAACATATTCAATTTCATAATTCCAATAAATGTTATCAAACCTCTTTAAATATTGTATTTAATTATTTATCTTTAAATTTTATTAGGTACCGAAAATAAGAAATAAAAACAAGATAATTATGATAAATACGTAAACATAATATCAAATAATTGTAGGCACGTTAGGTCATAATGTCAAGACATATTTTAAAGATAACTAAGATATAAAAGCACCCATCTTGACTGATGGCTCCATTACTCTGAAACACCTGGACCCTATTGTACCTTGAAGATATGGCGTTCAAAGTGAGTATAATTAGTTAGGTAATAGGATTCGCAGAAGAATATAAACGTGGGTTATTTTAAATATTATTTATTACTACATGATATCGTAGATTCATAGTCGATTTATTCATAGTTTTTAATAAACCACCATCTTTCCAAGCGATTACAATGTAGGTGTTTTTAAAGCAATAAACTCAGTCAGTGCAGTTTGCCATCTTCGAGTGCCCCACCACTTACTATCATACCATCAAGTGGGACAGCAGTCATAGATCACAATCCAATTTTTGCATTGATAAAATATCAGCATTACGTTATTTTTTATTTCAATATACAGAATAAGTATATTTTTTTTTCGTTTTTATTTAATTTTAATATTTTTGAAAACTTACAGCTAAATATAATAATATACAAACAGTAAAATAAGCAGAGGATGAAGGCCAATAACAAGTTTATTTGAAGAAAAAACAGAACGTAATACTAATTAAAGTATATTTTTACAGATTGCTGCTTTGCTTTTAGTTATGGTCGCTGTCGGTAACGGTGAGTATATAACATTTTAAAAATATCTACATGTAGTAGGTATATAAAGTATAAAAGTTTGTAAATAAAAATGAATAGCAGAATTAATAATGACAAAATTAGCAATCTGATATCTAAGTACAATAATAAAATGATGTGTAACTATTATTACCAGACTAAATGGATCACCTTTTTGGTTCAGTTGTGGCAGTATCAGCACTTGTGTTCGGATCTTTAGTATCTATATATAACTACGCAAAACAGCAGATTTTGTTAATTATAATACTTAGTAGGAAATTAGCACTTCTTTCTGCTAATAATACGCTAATCTTTGGTTAGCACTATAGATTTTTTTGACAAACAAGAAATTGCTGAGCTCTTTATTACCTTTTTAAAGGTCTGCCGCACGGAGGCGGTTACGGACAAGGAGGACAGGGAGGACAGGGTGGCTTTGGTCACGGAGGTAGCCAAGGCGGCTTTAGTTCAGGCGGCCAAGGCGGATTTGGACCAGGTGGCCAAGGCGGGTTTGGACAAGGTGGCCAAGACGGATTTGGATCAGGACATCAAGGTGGTTTTGGACCTGGTAACCAGGGAGGATTTGGACCCGGTGGCCATGGCGGACAAGGAGGCTTCGGTGGTCAAAATGGTTTTGGATCTGAAGGCAGTCAAGGTGGTCACGGCAGTCACGGCGGTCACCACGGCGGCTATCAAGAGTACGGATATTAGTTTGTAATGTTTATTAATAAAGAATAAATTATTACTCTCTGATTTTTTATTTATCATTTCGTTTATTAAATGCCGTCTAATAACTTAAAATTGGGAGTATTGGCGCAAAGTTTTTCAGAGCAATGTTTTATCGTTTAAATAATATAACAGTTTGAAGTGCATTTGGATAAGCGATTTTGTGTATTAAATCTATTATAGTCCATAATTGACTGCGCATGCCAATTATTGGTTGAAACGATGAAAGAAGTGCTTCGATGTTGAGTTGTTTGTCCGCTTAGGCGCCGTCGCAAGAACAAATTATTGTAATAATGGTTTCTTATATTTACACGAATACAAAGATATATGGGAACCCCACTGAAATGAACTATGCGTTGAGAGTTTCGCCAAGGAAAACATCAGATTCAACAGAGCTCAGTTCTTTCCTGTTTAAAAACACATTGGTGTTTAGATTTTTAACATTAATGTTTTCTGACCTTCTATATGCCAGGCTCCGATCTAGATCAGATGTGGGCTCCAGACTCCTGTGTGATTCACGGCGTGAATTCACGCCGTAATTTTGCCGCGAAAACGTCGCGAAAAACATATCCTCCACATTCAAAATCGTTTACAGTTTAGTTCGCGCGCTCGTCGAGAATGGTCGCCGAAATATGCACTGCTATCGCCGTGACGCTATGCGCTTTAGCTCACGACAATTATGTGTATATAAAAGATAAAAAAATCGTATTTGTAGTTTTTTTTACAATTATCGCTTTCTGCTAGAAAAGCATCGATCACGTCAAAAGTAATCTAAATGGGCTTTTAAATTTTGTCGCTGCTTGTTCCAGACTTCCTTTCAGAATCCTTCACCTTTTTCTTATAATTTCTATAACCGGACATTAGACTTTTTTCAATCAATCACTTCTACGCTTTTCGTGGCAGAGCCATGCTGCAGTTATATTAGTAGTATAGTTGTAGCACGAATGGGTCGGCCCGACCGGGGAAGGACCACACTCTCACAGAAAACCAACGTAAAATAGTAGCTTAATGCTGCTATGTTTCGTGTGGTGAGTGTAGAGAACCGGAGACCCTTTTTACTGGAAACGAGGCAAGAAGACAACGCATCTGCATTTTGATTCGTAATCGAGGATAGATGTAGATGTCTATGGGCCACAGCATCCACATACCATCAGGTGGACTTTGTGCTTGTTTATTACCCTATCCTATAAAATAAAATAAAATAATACCTACTCATTATTTCCTTTATTCGTATTCATGCGTCGTGTACTTTCATTTTATTTTTATGATCTTTGTGTTTAGCATCCCATTAAATGGGTTCGGCATGATAACACTCGATCAACAAGAGTTCCTGCTCGTTCGTCCAACTGACGCTCATTTTGACGCACCGTCCTACGTAAAAAAATACAAATAAGCACAACCTCACAGCAACGAGTCTCGCGCGTTACTGTTATCACGCGCGAGTGTGGATGCGCTTGCGTTCACGGGAGGTTCACACCTCGTAAACCCTTTGAAGCGGGCACAAAATACCGACACAAAACGGGGAACAGGGCGTGAAAAGGCGCGAAGCCCGTGAACGGGCGCGAAAGCCATCCAAATTCGCGGTTCACGCCTGTCACAGGTGTTCACGGCGTGAATGTGGGCGCTAGACATATTTTCTACGATATACACTAAAGGCGATTTTTTATTGATAACTTTGCACTTCAAATATTTAGGCACTAGTTTTCTCGCAAAATAGACATTATTATCACTTTGAAAGTAACAATGACTCCATATAATGGTTCCTCTTCACTAAAATCGGCGATTACAAACGATTACGTACGAGTACGATCGTGTAGAGGGCATACTCGGCTCTACTCGCCAATCATCGTTTTTCGGGCACGCATCAAAGGGAAGTGGTTGCGTTGACGTGCCCACACGATCGCCGATCATTCATCCGCAGTCGGAAAGTGAAGCGTTGCACACGAGCGTGTACTAGTTAACTCAGTACATACAAATGGCTAGTGGGTGGTCAAGTGAAGAGATACTCAAGTTCATTGAAGTTTATTAAACCTGTTCCCAAATTTGGAATTCGAGACACAAATGTCACCATATTGACATAATGGTTGTATAGCGCTATTAAATAAATTTTTGCAGCAGCAACACACTCCACGTCCATGTCACTCCATGTCGATGCTTGCTGTTTGACAAACTACCACGGGCGATTGTATGTATGCTTGCACGATAATCGTGCCGATTGTAAATGATCACAATAGATAAAAAGGCATAATATTACGTATCTGAAATTCCGCATGCTTCCACCTCAAATTATAACGTTAGGGTTTATAGTGAGCATTCCATAAAGCTTTTTGAACTTAACATTAGATTCAATATACAATATGTACACAAACAACTGCATGTAACAATCACAAATTATTGCAACTTCATAAATATTTTTAAAATATCAGTTTTAATAAAATTATATCAGAAACTAGGGACAAGCAAAGTTTTTTTTCATTATTCTAAGCCAGAGCTTAACTACAACCCTACCTGATGGTAAGTGGTAATGTAGCTTAAGATGGTAAAGCACACTGACTTAACAAAAGCATTGACTTAACAAAAGCATTGACTTAACAACATTGTAATCGCTGTACGCATGACAAACGGTGTAGCAAACAGTTAGGTTCAAATGCGTAGTAAGTAAACGGTGGAAACTGGCTGAACTTCTAGTTGTCCGATGGTAAAAGGGAGAGGGAGAAATTAATTATGCAATTCCTGCGTACACTCTCCTGCAAACTTTTCTCCTATGTTCGAGGCTAGAACTCTTAGAACGTTTTTATATTGAGTCCAAAGCTGCTAGGGCGGCAATTTGTAGCTCCTCATATGCCAGCAATACTTCATGTGCGACAAAATGGACGCCAGACCCTGTCAAAGATCTTCGAGACATAAGGGAAACAGCAAGTGCTTACTCACTTTTCTCAAGGGCTTTGGCTCTTGTATGAGTGGCCTTAGAAAGTCTTCTTGTATGAGTGATCATCGATTTAGGCGAAACCCATACTGCTCACTGAGAAGATCATTCGGCTCTATGTATGTCAAGAGATTACATGTTTATGAACCTGGAACACTGACCTCAATATATACAAGTACGCTGGACTGGCTATACCATACAAAATGACTGTACCAATTTGAAGCGCCGCTAAAGGATGTCTTGAACAATAAAATTGACATAATATGCCTGTCTGTTGTCTTACTTATATTGCATTATTTAATAAGTCTGTATTTTGTACTTTTAAACTAAAAAACGAATGTATTTTATGTTGTTTGATTGTGTATAATATTAGTTACATAATAACAATTATTTTTATTAATAATGAGAGTGTGCGTAATCCGTAAAACTCGTTACCAAAAGGGAAGTGGTATAACATTTCACAAGTAAGTGAATTTGCTGCAAATTATAACACTTAAAAATATTTGATAAGTACTTAAAAATTATTTACTAATCTTAATATCATATATACCAACATATTTGACTGTATATTACTGAGTTTTGATAACTAATAAAATTCAATAGGGTTGTCGAGTTCCTTGTCTATAATACCTATCGATGTTCTTTCCTATCCATATGTGTTAACAAAAAAGTCGCCAACAACGGATGATTATCAAATGTTTATTAATAACAGGTTTCCAACTGAACCTAGACTAAAATTATGACTTTAAAGCATAAATACTGTGAATTGGCGTCCGAAACAAAATTATCATATTTGTTGCAAACATTTCACAGATGACTGTTTTATTAGACATGAGAACTGCACCACTTTGAAAAAGTACAGACAATATTTTTTGATAGTACCCGTGAGTATAAAAGTATTAGATTATTATTTCGAATGTTTTTTTCTTCTTTCCTCATTTTCCACCAAACTCAAGGGCCGAAAGGTCGCCTGATAATGTCGAGCCACGTTAGATGTGTGTTAGTGGGATGCAGCTAAAGGAGATTCCTTTTTCTGTACCGCTGTAGTCGAGGTGGAGTCGTAAGGAAAGAGGAGTGTTGCGTTGGTTTAAGATCTTTGTAGAATATTTAGAGACGATACCAGGAGACCCGACAGTATGGATTTGGTTGCTTGAGAGAGAGAGAGAGAGAGAGAGAGAGAGAGAGAGAGAGAGATAAAGCTTTAGTGTGGGATACTACTTGCGAACACTTTGACAGCATCCCATCTCAGGGGTACCTCGTCTAAAGCAAGGGTGGCATTAGAGACAACTGGACTAAGTAAATAGCCCAGAGTATCTAGAAGATGAGTACATATTTGTGCAATTTTCTGTAGAGACTATTGGTCCGTAGGGTACACGTGCGGTGTAGTTCCTAAAAAACTGTATCTACGACTGATCATCGCTGCTGGTAATAAGAGGCTGTTGTTTAGTTTGTTGTTTCCTCGCTTGAAGGCTAAGTATAGCCATTCAGAGAGGACACGTAGCCAGCATTCTTGGGACGATATCACGGAAAGTAGGACTGTATGATAATTTCAGTGATTTTTTATTAATTTTTTTAATAAAGATATTTTAATTTCGAAAATGACTTTGTAAATAACTGATAACTATGTAATTCAAAGTTTATATATTTTATATTATCTTGCTAGCTCGTACCCGGCGCATTGCTGCCGCAGAAAATATAATTGTGGAAATATCGTTAAAAATGTAAAGCAGTTACATTGTATAATTAGGAATGATAATACAATCATTGAAATAGAATGACATATAACTATAATTTTCAAATAAATATTCAATATAATACGCACGCCACCTAGTGTCAGTTAATTGTACCATGCGTATAATCTTCGCACAAGTGCAACCAATAAGTTGACTAAGTTTTGCCGCAATCTGATGACCGGTATGGCATCGTAGAAAGTACGATTAAACATAAATTTTTATATAGTAGAAAATATTTTTCTGTCTATAGGCAGACTTGTAGTTGATTAGAATAGGCGTTATATAATAACAGCAGCTGATTCGTTTTTTATAATACTAGAACTAAA